CAGCAACGACAGCAACGACAGCAACGACAGCAACGACAGCAACGACAGCAACGACAGCAACGACAGCAACGACAGCAACGACAGCAACGACAGCACTTCATCAGGACATCACGATTGTCGTAAAAAGCTTCACATTGGGCAAGAGACGGCAGCCGCGCCGACACCACTAGTTTATTGCTTAACGCAAAGCTACAAGTAGCTTTGCTTACTTATAGCGCAAGATATTACGATCAGGGCAACGCAGGTACGGGGAAAGCAGTAGGCCTTGTCGGCTATAGACTGTACATACTAGAGGCGTGGCGAACCATCTAGTCCGCGGGGGAGAGGACGTATCTAACTCTTGAAGCTTTTACCCTGGCGGTTTTCTCGCCTTGGGCCTTGGCTCCAAATTCAGTCCCTCACCCCCCCGACAAAGCAGCCATAGTAGTAGCAGCAGCAGCAGCAAAAACAGCTGTCGGTTAGCCCATAGCCGGTCACATAGAGGCAGACACTGCTCAGATTAGCCCAGCCTAGCCATCGTCAACAACATCACACCAAGGACTGCGTGACTGCATCCACTTCATGCTATGAGCTTCATGTCAATTTGTTCCCTCTTTCTTCGTTGCTCGCAAGACCTCGCACTGGCAATACCAGAAACACCAGAAACGCCAGTTATTAGAAGGTGACTCATAGCCGGTCACGTAGATCAGATTAACACAGCCTAGCCATCATTAACAACATCATATCAAGGACTGCTTGATTGCATCTACCTTACGCTATGAGCCCTGTGCCATTTTGTTCTCTCTTTCTCTCGTTGCCGGCAAGACCTCATGCCAGCAACACCAGCAGCAGCAATAACAACACCAGAGGCGGCAGCGACAGTCGGCGCGCCGCTGCCGTCCCATACCTGCCATGCAGCCCAAAAATGGCTGGCGCGGCTCTAGATAATAATGAGGAACATCTACGAAGGATGCGACCAGACATTTCTGCCTGAGCGAATAGCACTACGCCACCCTTCATGCGCCATCCAACCACCACGCCACGAGTGCAAGTCGGACAAAAGTCGGTGGTGGCTCGGGGTGAATGAAGCGCGCGCCCGCGTCACGAGGACGGCGCGGCACATGTTGTTTTCGTCCCTCCTCAATTCAAAGTTCTGGCACATGCATCCCGTGGCGCCTCGACCATTGGATCAGCCCGTGGGTTCCCGGCTTGCATGCAGACGGACTTGGGATGACAGAGAGCCTGGGGTGAGCGACGGCCTCGGCAGTTGTCTGGCTCGTGGCCTTGCAACCACGGGAACTGCAACATGGAGGCGGAGAGGGATGTTTACATGGCAACATGTACTTCGTATAGTCGGAGTGGCCGCCGATGACCTGGAAGAGCGCTAGACACGAGCCGCTATATAGATGCACTATTATCGTTCTGCATAGATGTAGAATAAGGCGCGGCGGCTAATCACGAGAGGGACAAGACCCATGAGAGGAACGAGACGCACGAATTGAACGAGAGGTACGCGGAACATGAGAGGCATGAAAGGCACGATAGGCACTTGCCACGGGTGACACAAACGTGGCCGCCGTCTATTGAAACAGGCTCGCTTGGCAAGCCTCCCCAACACGGAGCGCTGGGGAGAAGGACGGCGGGCTGCACGTCATGCTGAGGCCTTCCTCGGACCAGCCCGCGGTTCGAGGTGCGCCTCATGGTGGCCGGCGGCGGCGCGGAAACGCGGCGCCGGGGGGCCTGCGTTTGTTGGGGTCGCAGCAGCGCCGCCATGACCGCTTGCTCCATGCCGGCGGCTGCCCGTGTCCCTGTGCCCATGTGCATCGCGAGCGCGGTTGCGAGCATCTCACCCGTGCGAGCGCGGGTTTCGGATTGTCCTTTGGCTTGCTGGCTTTTGTTTGCTTCCGCGATCGTCACAACGGAACGCAGGCTTATCAATGCCTCGAGTCCTGACCGCTGCTGCGTGGACGATTGCGGCAGTGCAGTAACTATCCTTGTGCGACGAGGCTAGATAGCGACGAGGCATGTTGGGCCAGGGTGTGACTCAAGACGTGGCGGCGCTCATGCCTTGTCAAGCTGCTGCATGCTCACCGACGGCTTACCGTGCGTTTCGGAGGGAGCTCTGGTCGGTATCAAAACACGGGCACGGATGGCGAGTGATAGCACGCCCATGGCTGCTGACCGGAAGCGGCTGTGTTGGAACACGGGGGAGAGATAAGGGCGAGACACGACACGGGGAGGCTGTAGATAAGCCGGCGACATGGCTGTGCTGTAGAAGGACAAAAATAAAACCAGATACCGTTGTCGAGACGGCAATGCCACAGGCGTCAACACGAGCGCGGCAGGGCGGTGGCCGTTCTCAGGATGGATGGATGGATGGATCGAGGGCTGGAAGGCTGGAGGAACGGAGGTGAGATTGGGAAAGGGAGGGTGGTGGTTGTAGCGCGGACCGCGGTGGACGACGACGATATGGGGGTACTTTGCAATGAGGGGAGCGTGGCTGCGGGCCGAAGGTACCTCCCCCCGTGCCTGGCATCCGTCAGTGGTGGACTGGTGGTCCGCGCAGCGCCAGGACCCGTGCCATGTGACCTGGGGGCTGCCCAATGGCGCGGCCAGCAAACAAGCAGAACCCAAGATTGCGAGATGCCGAGCCAGAGTCGCACAAGACAACAAGGTAACCGGTACCAGCCGGGGGAATGGTGCGACAGCCGTGGCAGCAGCGAGACAGAGGCAGAGGCAGAGGCAGAGGCGGAGGAAGAAAAAAAAAACCTTTGTTGGCGTAGAGATACTCTTACCCTATAAGTTGGTCGGTGTTACCCCATAGGAAGCCATCTTTTACCCTATAGCAACGTAATCTGGCACAACAAGCTTCCCAACGCGGCAATCGAGGCAGGGTCGGGCCTGCCGCGCCTGCAGGGGTACGTACCGGTACCGCCCCGATGTACTCCGTGCTCCGTGCGCGCCGTGCTGCAAGAGACCCGATGGCATGTCTCCAAGACTTGTTGCCGCCAGTGATTTGATGGTTGGAGCCGGTACTGTGGACTTTTCGACCGCCTGCCCTGCCCCAGGCCCAAGGGCTGGGGGGCGTGCCTGCCTTGGCCTGCGAGCGCGCGCGCCTCCCCTTGCCATTGCCTTGCCTTGCCTTGCCTCGCATCGCATCGCGGCGCATCGCCGCTCCGCGCAGCCGGATCTGACCTCCAGCCTGGGAAGGCGCCATGATTGGCTTTGTCCTTGCCTCCGGCGTCCCCTCCAGCGCCGGGCTGGATGCCGGTTTGCTTTCGCGCCTCGTCCTCGTCATCGCCGTCCGCCATCCGCCTCGCCCACCCCTCTTGTGTCTCTGCACGCCATGCCATGCCATCCCCGTCTCCGGCTGAGCAGCCCTACCAATGGACAAAGTACATACGCAACCACCCGTATCTCCCTGTCTCTCCCGCCCCTCCGCTCGACAACAGCGGCTTCTGGACGCTTGCTGGTGGGCGAGGCTGCCCGGGATCCACGGCGCCATGGCCGTGAATTTATCGTCATTGTCTCCATCCTTATCATCATCGCCAAACGCCTCCCTCCATCCGGCATGTACGATGGGCAATGTACTGTACCTCTCGTACCCTCGCTCTCTCCACACCACACTGACCGACCCCAGACCAACCCACCCCCCGGATCCCAGGCCGGTGTCACAGCTGCCCGGCGATTTCGGAGCCGCCTGCTGTTGGCCGCTCGCCCGCCGTGACCGCCGTTCGTCTCGAGTGACACGCCACGATACGACGGGTCAAGAGGCAAGACAAGAGCCGAGCACTGCACAGTACTGTACAGCGCCGCTCCCTGCTCCCGTCTCCATTCTCGTAGCGACCGTGGACGCGCCGTTCCCACAAGAACCATTTCCGGGGCATACGGGAATCATCATACTTGCCCAACGCAGCCTAGCGGCTGCCGTGGCATCGCCGCTGGGGGGGCGTGGCCAAAATCTGGACACTGACTTGGAGCTTTGTTTGGCGTGCCAAAATAAGCAACCCCCAGGAACGGTCCAGAAGGGATGACCACCGCCTCTCACAGCACTCGACGGAATGGGCGACGAAGGATTTTTTTTCAACGGCGTTTGGCGATCCGTCCTTGGTTGCCGCCTTGCCACGCCCCGATAGTGCAGGCATCTGGCGACAGAGGCGAGTTGGCAAAGACTATGAGGAGCCAGGGCAAAGAAGACATGCTCGCACCGTCAGAAGCAGACCATGAACCGCGCGTACGCGCAATGGGCGTCTTCCACGGCCCCGACGAGTACCTCTACTTGGGACCTCGACTGACTTTCGACGGCTGCGGGTCCACCGCCGACCCAGCGGGCGCTGGCGGCGCCGCAATTCTCGATCCATCTCCCCATCCCCACACACCGTGAGCACCTTTGAGTCCTCACTTTCAAACGCCCCCCCTCCCGCGCCGCCAGGCCTGGAGGTCGGCTTGCGGCGGGCAGGTATCCAGGTACCCTCCCACGGCTGCCATCGCCGCTCTCCATCGTGTCCAGGTACCGGCGCCATGGCCCGCCCCGAAGGGGGCCGCAACATATATCAGTCCCTATCCGCCCGCTCCCGTTGCCCTCCCGTCTCCTTCCCGCCTTGAGTCCTGCCATATACCGTATCTTGCATCTGTCAGCGTGTGATTCAACAACACGAGTGACTTGCCTTCTCCAGTCTGTCGTCTTTAACAACAACTACACTCTCCTCCGCCTGCCTGCCACCCTCCCTCGTTCGTCTCACTCAACGACAACATGGGCTCCCTCGGCTCCGACGCAAAGCTCCCCTGGAGCAAGACGCCCTGCGTCCAGAGCCCTCAGCTGTCCCGGATCGCGGGCTGGTAAGTGCAGGCACGAGATCTGAGCCAGGCCCGTCACGCTGACGGCCTCGACAGCAACATTTACATGAAGCTGGACAACCTCCAGCCCAGCGGCTCCTTCAAGTCGCGAGGAATCGGCAACCTCATGACCCGAGCCGCGGCCACAGCAACTGGAGATGTTCACTTTTACTGCTCCTCGGGCGGCAACGCTGGCCTTGCCTGCGCCACCTCGGCCGTCGCCCTCAACAAGCCCGCCACCATTGTCATCCCCATGACCACGTCCGATCTCATGAAGAACAAGCTTCTGGACCTGGGAGTCGAAGTGCACCAGACGGGAAAGAACCTGGCTGCCGCCGACGAGTACCTGCGAACCGAGCTGCTCAGCAAGGACCCCCAGGGCGTCTACGTCCCGCCCTTTGACCACCCCCACGTCTGGGACGGAGCGTCGACCATCATCCCTGAGCTGCGGGATCAGATGGACGTCCCCATGGATGCCATCGTGTGCAGCGTCGGCGGAGGTGGCCTCTTCAACGGCTTGATGCAGGGCATAGAGAGCTACCCCTGGTCCGGCTGCAAGCCCGACGTCGTCTGTGTCGAGACGGACGGCGCCGACAGCCTCAACGCCTCCCTTCGCGCCCAGTCCCACATCACCCTTCCTGAGATTACGTCCATCGCCACGTCGCTGGGTTGCTCCCGCGTCTCTGCCGAGACGTGGAAGTGGGCTCAGTACCCCAACACGCATAGCCTCGTCGTCTCGGACGCGGACGCCGCCATCAGCTGCGTCCGCTTCGCCGACGACGCCCGCCACCTCGTCGAGGTTTCGTGCGGTGCCGCGCTGGCCACGGTGTACCGCGGTGACCTGCGCGAGCGGCTGGGCCGGGGCATGAGCGACGACGAGTGGGCGCAGAAGAACATTGTTCTGATTGTCTGCGGCGGATCTGGCGTCACCCTGGGCATCCTCGACCAGTACGTCAAGGAGTACGCACACCAGACGGCCATCAAGGTATAAGCGGAGCCCGGAGGCCTGCCGATTTATGAATTATCTACGAGCGTTGCGTTTTATGCATGGCACTTTCACAATTTCCCGGGATTTCTTGGATAAGAGATTAATAAGAAAGATTCACGACATGGAGCCCTTGGAAGTGTTCTCTGATGCCCAAGCCTGCCGAGGCTAGATGCTCCCACATGATGCTGCCACGCGGCGGCAAAGGCTGGGACGACGCAGATGACACTGCTGCAGACGCGTCCTCTGGCCCTGGCCGCGGGCTGAAGCATCATGCAGGTCCTCTACAGCTGCATCGAGTTGACCTCGTGACACGGGGGCGTCTACGGGAGGATCGGATCTGAAGACCCCCATGTCGGGCAGGAACGGAACACGATGCAGAGGGGGAGGCATGCGACGAATCATGACGGGAGCGACATTCGACTTGCAGCGATATCATTATTGTTACGGCGCATATGGGGTTAATGGCGACTGGTAAAAGCGCCACGGATGGCACGACAACGTGCCCGGTCGATTTCGGAGAGATTTCCCGGCGGCCGCAGCAGATGCAAGGCTGCAGGCTTATACACGAGACGGCAAAGACGACTGCTAGACACGAACTAGAATAGAATAGAATCATGCATCTATTGCCTCTTGGAGTCTACGTTCCCCGGATTATCAGCCGCTGGCGCCTCCGCATGGATCTGCCACGCCATCGGGGCCAACAGCCGTGGCGGGCAACTCCACGTCCGACGTCGGCAAGGCCGGGCACTCATACATGCGTAGTGCCAGACCGGGTCGGGAACATGGCATGGGCTGGAACCTGTCTGGGGGAGGGGGGAGGCTGTGACGGCATGTACTTTGTACCTCTGTACCGTATCCGCGCAGCGCGATGCCTGGGCGACGATGAGGTGAGCTGGAGGGGCGAAGGCGAAGCGCGCCGCGGTCCGGGGCGGGGGGAGGAGGCGGCCCCACGGGGGGCTCCGAGGGGAGGGGGTGCGGTGCGGCGCCGGGGGGCAGCGCGGCGGGGGCCGGGCATTTTTACACTTGGGGCCTGGTGGTGATGTGTTGGAGGTGAATTGATGGAATTGATGTTTTGTTTCTGGAGACGGGGGTTATCCAGGTGAAGGTGAATGATCTGATAGCAGGGATGGATGGATGGGTGGATGGAGAGATGGGGTTTGAATGTGGTGATTTCATTACTTCATTACTTGGGTGTCTCCGTTACCAGTGGGAGAGTGAGGGAGGAGGCTGTTGCCAGTCTCGCGCCAGGGCGGCGACTGCGCGCCTCTCCTTCTTCTCCGTTTCTCTCTCCCTCCCTTCCCTCTCCCCTCTTCCGCTTCCCCAGCATCCGTTCTCATCATCATCCATCCCCTTGAGCCACCCACGCGACGCCCACGCCGCGTCACCCGGCCCTCCCCTTCCCCCTGCCCCTTCCTCTCGCCGCGCCGCCGCCTCCGCCGCCTCCTCGTCCTCGTCCTCGTCCTCCTGCTGCAGCAGAGGCTCTGCCCGTTCGAGCGCCAGCGCCGCTGCCGCTGTCGGCCTTGAGCTGGTCGACGTACTCGCCCATGAGCTGCTGCAGGTCCGGGTTCTTGCGCGCGAGGAGCAGCACGTCGTCGGTGGTGACGGTGGAGCGGCCGGCGTGGCGGGAGAAGCTCTCGAGGTCGACGGCGACGTTTTCTGCCGTGATTCCCAGGGTCAGCGAGTGCTCCCCTCCCCTCTTGTCTCTCACTCAGTCTCTCTCTGCATCTATCCCACTCCCTCTCCCCCCCCCCCTTTCTCTTTTCTCGTCACACATCTCGTTCTCCGCTACATGTATGTATGCACGTAGCCGCCTGAGGATAAGTACCGTAGTAAAAGACATGACGATAATGATGATGGTGATGATGGCGGTGGTGGTGGTGCCGACAAGGGGAAACGTACCGATCTGCGTCCAGACGAGTTCCGTCAGCGCGCCGATGAACTGCGGCGTGGCGTTGAGGTTGCGCCGCATGCTCTCCTCGTCGACCATTTGCCCGACGGCGAACCAGAGGGCCGACTTGAGGCGCTGCATTTTTTTTTTTTTTGTTTCTCAGCATCGAAGCACACAGCCAGTTGCTGTTTCTCCCGCGGGGAGCAGACCCGAGGGGGAGAGAGAGAAGGGGCCGCGCAAACATACCTCGCGGTCGTCCTCGGCCGTCGTGTCGGCCATGCTGGTCTGCGGCGTGCGCGGGGGCACTGGCGCTCGTGTGTGTGTGTGTGTGTGTGTGCGTGTGCTCGTGCGTGTGCGTTCGTGTGCTCGTATGGGTGTTTGTGATGATGAGGCTAGAGGGTGAGTGTGGCTGTGAGAGCAGTGAGGCGTGAAGTGTCGGATATGTGAGGTGAGGTGAGGTGAGGTGAGGTGCAGGTGAGTGACGGGCGAGACGCGTCTGCAGTGTGCCACTTTACGCGACGCGGGGCTCTAATGCTGTGGCGGTTGTGGTGTTGCGGTGGGGTGCCAACTTTCTCAGCAACCAAGCAACTCTCACTCATCACTCCTCGAGTCCTCACTCATGCACAAGCACGCACACATACCCCTCTCACGACTCCTCAACAGGCCTTCACAGTGGTATATGCCATGCAATGCCATGATGGTTTATTTACGTTGCTGTATAGTACGTTCTGCTCCTTCTGTGTAGACGCGAACACACCCCCGTCCCCAGAATTACCATCATCAACAACAACGTCCTTTCGTCAATCGTGAGAACACCCCCTTTCTCTCCCCCTGGCTATTCCGCGCAACCGGCTTTAAGTTTGATCACAAGAGGCCAGGGGATGGGGGTAATTATATATATATGCAGGAGAAGAAATGGCCCCTATGAAGTGAGGGTCGTCATCGTCCATCACCACCTATGCCTCCGTCGCCCTGCCGGCTGCGAAGGCGTTGGTGACGGCGACGCAGGCGGCGGCGGCACCTCCTTCTTGGTATACACGCTCAGGCGGTTCGCCGCGCCGCAAAACTGCTGCGCGCTCCCGCCGCACAGCATCCCGCACTCCTTCTGCGGCGCCTCCTTGCTCGACACGTCGAGCTTGTTCCCGCAGTAGCACTCGCGCCCGTACTCGGTCCCGAAGAACTTGTACGCCTTGCAAAAGTCGGCGCACTTGGCGTTGGTCATGTCGTCGGCGGCCGTCGCGGCGTCGGCCAGCGCGCGCGTGCCGTTGCCCTCGGTCTGGCACCCGACGAGCACGAAGTCGCCCACCGCGGCGGGCTGCTCGGGGGGACCCCCGCCCGTCGCGTTGGGGTTCATGTACAGCTCGAGGCGGCTGCTGCCGCCGCAGTACTGGTACTTGTCGCCGGCGCAGGGCATGGCGCAGTCGGCGAGGGGTGCCGTCTGGCTCGTCTCGTCGAGGTAGCTGCCGCAGTAGCACTCGCTGCCGTACTCGGTGCCGAAGTACTTGAAGTCCTTGCAGAAGGTGCCGCATGCGTCGTTGGTCATGTCGTTGGCGGCCGTGGCCTTTTGCTCGAGCGCCCGCTTGCCATTGCCTTCGGTCCAGCAGCCGACGAGCGTGTAGGGCGAGACGGTGGGCTTGTGGATGAGCGTCGCCGTGGGGGTGGGCGTTACGGGCGCGCTCGTCGTTGAGTAGAGCTCCAGACGGCTGCCCGCGCCGCAGTACTGGCTGGCGTCGCCGCCGCATGGCATGTTGCAGTCTGCCAGAGGGGCCGCCTTGCTGGAACCGTCGAGAGAGTTGCCGCAGTAGCCTGTGCCGCGATCTGTCAGTCAATGTCAAGGGGGCCATGTCCTCTGTGTACTCACACTCGCGTCCGTACTCGGTACCCCAGTACACGTAGGCGCTGCAGTAGTTCATGCACTTTTCGAGAGTCATCGAGTCGTTGGCAAACGAGTTGCCCGTGAGAGCCCGCGCCCCCGTGCCTTCGGTCCAGCAAGACACCATCTTGTACCCGCCGACGGCGTCGCGGTGATGCAACGTCTCAGTCGGAGCCGCCGTGGTGCTCGTCGTGGTGGTCGAGCCGCCATCCGAGGTAGTGGTAGTCGTGGTTGTGGTATCAGTAGTCGTGGTAGTGGTGGTCGAGCTGACAGGCGGCTCCCCCCCGTCGCAGGGCGCCGGGTTGTCAAACGGTCGGCACGTCCCGCCGATGTCAGTGAGGCTCTTGAAGCCGTCGGTCTGCGTGCCGGCCGTGACGTCGACGTGCGACTGGTACGGCAGGCCGCCCTGGATGGTGTAGTCGGACGTGAACAGCGTGTACTTGCCGACGCAGTTTCCCTTCTTGAGCTGCACGGCGGCGCTCTTCTGCAGCGGCACGGGGCTGCCCGTCTGCGGCTCCTTGTAGTACACTGTCGCCTGCGCGCCGTTGCTGGCGGCAACGTCGTTGCGCACGGCGGCGACCAGGGTGACGGCGCCCGCGTTGCCCGTCACGCAGCTTTGAGGCGCCTGGAAGATGATGTCGTCCTGGAGCGGGTACCCCTTGCCGTTGTTGTCGTACGTCTTATCGTTGACCGTGACGGTAAAGGAAGAAATGCCTGACGCAGCGGGGATGGTGGCTGAGATGGGGAAGAAGGCAAACGTGTCGTCGAAGCCCTGTCCCACGCCCTGCAGGCTGCTGGTGATGGCGCAGGAGCTGGAGCCGCAGTCGGCCGAGCCCTTGCGGTCCTTGTAAGTGATGGTGATGCTCTTGACGCTCCCGTCGGGCAGGCCGGTGGTCTTGACGCGGATGTAGCCTGTCAGGGAGAGCATGGTGCCGCCCTGGGCGAGGGTGAGCTGCAGATTGACGGGCTTGACGGTGTAGGGCACGATGGGATCCGTGAGCGTGACACCCGGCGGCACAACATCAATCATCTTCTGGAGGACCACCTTGCAAATGTCCTTGAACTTGTCGTTGTCCGTCATGGTGGTCATGGTCTTGTTGCTGTCAGCGTTGAAGACCTTGAAGTCGGAGTTCTTGTTGATGGCGACCGAGGGGCCGACGACGAGCGGGTTGGTCGTGTTGCCCGACAGATACTCGGTGACGACCTTGTTGTCGAACACGGCGACGGTCGAGTCCAGGGGCACCTCGCCGTTGGCGGGCGCGTTGGGGGGCATCAGGTCGGGGAACTCGTCCTTGTGGACGCCGCCGATGGTGTGGCCGCAGGCCGTGACCTGGATCATCTCCTCGGTGGTGAAGCCCATGCGCTCAAACTGCTGCTGGAAGGTGACGACCGAGTTCTGCGGCTGCGGCACGCCCGTCGCGCCCTTCTCGGTGGCGTCCTTGCGGCCGGCGCGGAACGGCACGGCTGGCCCGCCGCAGGAGCGCACCGACGTGTAGACGCCGAGCGCGATGAGGTCCGACAAGCTCGACCGAGGCGAGACAAAGGGGGCCATGAACTGCAGCGTCGTCTTGTGGCCGGGCCCCGTGTTCTCGCCGTTGTCCAGCTCGTACTGCAGCGAGCCGTCCAGGCCGCCCGTCTTGAAGAAGGTGTTGGCCGTCGACATGTCGTGGAAGGCGGTCCGGAGCCACTCGGCCGCGTTCTGCCGGCCCGGGCCCGAGGCCTCGTTGGTACACGGGCTGACCGTGTCGGCGAACTTGCGCGCGCGGAACGACGTGAGCTGGAACATGATTTCCTCGAGCTCGTCGATGGGCGACGGCCAGGTCGGGTCGGCGAGCGCCCGGCCGGCGAGGCCGAGGGCCAGCACCAGCGACGCGGGCGATGACGACCGCATGATGGCTGAGAGAGAGAGAGAGAGAGATAGCGACTGTGACGACGATGACCAGAGACGCAGACTATCGAGCAAAAGCGACCGTGGTGAGCGCACTCTCCGTCGAGATGCCAACGGTCCGCCTCGTGTAAGTCACGACGCGCAAAGACGATACCGCGCTACGGACAAACAGAAAACGAGCGACGAGGGCGTGGACGACGACAGGACTTTAAGGAGGAACAAGCCAAGTCGACAACGCGGATAACTACAACACAACACCATGGTGGTCGCATGGGACTAGACTGGCGTGCAGCGCCCGGCCCGGTGAGGCGCATCGTCGGACGCTCGCCGGTTCGCTTACGGGCGGCCAAGATGCCGCCGTCCGCCACGGCTGCAGGGCATGGTGGAGCGCCCGAGTGGCCGATGACACGGCCCCTTGTGGTTGCGGGTTGCAACGTGCATGCATGCATGGAGCAGCGGCAGCCCAAGTCGGAGGGGAGGGCAAAGCAATTCTGCTGGCCCGGGTGCTGGCGCCATGTTGGGCTGGGGCCGCCGGTCTGGGCAGCTGATGAGGGAGCGGCGGATGGCGCATCTCTCCAATCTCTGACCTCTCTCCGCCAGTCTCTGGTGGCCTCGTATTTTTTTTTCTTTCCTTCGCTGGCAGTCGAGCGAGGCGTGCGTTAGCTTCCTTTCAGGGGTCAGGCTCGAAGTGCCTGGTTCCTCGCATCGCGCTCAGCCGCAGTCCCGAGGCGGGACCCCTGTCGAGCCGCCTTTGCCATGTCCGCCGCCTGGCGAGCTCGCTTCTGCGGGTTGCTGCATCGTCCTCGGCGTCGTCGTCGTCTGCATGCAACTGCGACGCGTCCGGTCCCGTGGGCGGATGGAACGACAGATTGGATGGCTCTCTCGTCGTCCTCTTCCACCCGGTCCTCCGTCTGCTTCCGCAGCGCGCATCAATAGTCCCGCCGAGACTCTGCACGCCAATTGCGGCCGAGATATTTGCAGCTTCTCGTTGCATCTCAGCGTTGTAACCGCCTGTCGGTCTACCGGGGGGCGATCTGGGCGCGCTGCCCTCTCCAGGTTGTCCTTGGTATTGGGACCGGGGCCCCGGGCCGTTCGAACTTCGCAGTCAAGAGAGTGATTGCCTGGTGTCTGTGCCCTTGGTGTTGTTGACTCGCGCTTCATTAATCAATTCGTGGCGCCCACCCATCTTGTCCCCAAGTTGTCTCCCCAACGTCTGGGCCCGATAAGCTTTCTCGTTGCAGACGGGCCACAAGCCGCCAGGACAACCACACCGTTGTCGTCGCCAAGCAGCTGACCTGAGGTCCCTGATGAAGGGGCTGCCGTCCACCACCCAGAGACGCCGCATTTGCAAACCCTTGCGGTCGCCCAATCATCAAGGGTCCTCGATAATGACCTGCAGGTCAGCCGCCGATACGAACCCCAAGACGGCAAGGATGGAGGCGCGAACGTCCAGGGCCTCGTCAGCCCGCTCATGCCACTTGCCAGAACCCATCAAAACCCATGTCACGCCCGGGCGCTTCGGCCGGGTGGCGGGTAAAGAAGAACCGGCCGGCTCATGCTTCCGAAGTCAACCACCCTCGACCTTTTGGATTCTGGCTGTCGTCGAGGAACGGCTGCCGTGCGATGTAACACCGACGCCGTTCTCGACTGGGCCGCGACATGGCAGAAGAGGCGATAGTTTGGCTTCCGGATGCATCGTGCCGCTCCCACCATGCAGGTGCCTGACCATGTTGCCCCTGTTGAAGCCATAGCCGAGGACTCGCAGAGAGGCATCAGCCTTGGCGCAGAGGTCGAGACGTGGCAGCACGGCTTCTCGGTCCTGCAATTGACCTGGTCATGCTGCCCTCGACGTAGCATCAAGCGTGCCATGGGTAGCGGAAATATTGAGGAACTTTTTAACGTTCCTATTCCGATGCGCACATACTCGCCTCCCCGCGTTCAGGGCCTGCGGCCTGCAAAAGCGAGTTTGTCGGCCGAGGGCCATCCCTCGCGTCGGCGATTTAACGATTCGCCCGCCGCCCGCAACGGGATGTCGGCTCCCGTTGATAGCCTTGCCTCAGGGACAGGTCCATCTGCGTCTCGCCACTTACACCTCTCCCGCAGGCGTTGTTGGCTCTCAGCGCTGCCTGCATTGCACGAGCCGCGGCGCCCGCCTGCGGGTTGGGCGAGTCGCACGAGCGAGCCACGTGTACCACGCGAACGGCTCTCCTGTCTTGTGCTGCCCTTGTGTGTCTGCAGAATGCCGCCGCCGCCGCCGCTGCAAGCCACTGGGGAAGGGGGAGCTTTGACCAACTCTCCTTTCTGCATCAACCCGGCCGGGCAACTGGGGCCTGGATGACGGACGACCACCTTCGAGGTGGCAGCTCCACCAACATTGACTCGCTGTGGAGCGGGCAGCGGAGCGAGGAAAGTCAATCGTGGAGCCGTGGCCCGCCGAGTGGACAGCATCGAAGACTGACTGTAGACTTGAACTGACATCATGCGGGTCGAGCTTCGTTTCGAAGTTGGTCGCCGGACCGTGACGCGACCTCCCTCGTCAAGCTCGGAGACGGAAAATCGTACTCGAATTGGTGGATTGGGCCGCCTCCGCCTGGTCCTGGTCCTGGCCGGGGCTCCAGAAAGAAACTCTGATCAGCAGATCAACGATCGGCATTGTGTTACGCTGCTGTGCGGCGTCGGTCAGGTCAGGGCAGGCCAAATCTGTCTGCAGGAGGAGGGGAGTGGCTGTCCAGCGAGCCGTGCAGTGCAGCAAGTGCCATAAATTCGAATCCGGGCCTTCTTTCCGTCCTCCTACTAAGCCCGCCCGCGCCACAATCCAGGCCCGCCCGACGGGAGCAACTGAGCCACTCACTGCTTCCAGGTTTCTCACATCAGCTGGCCTGGCCCGCGTCAAGCCACTCTGCGGACCGGCTTCTGGGGGCGCCGTGTGGCTGTGTCTCACTTGACAGGGTGGAGGTGGACCGCCGACTGCCCCCCTTTTGCCCAATCACGTGCGCCGTCGTGGGGTTGACGGACGAGTGACCTCATCGCCAACCCCACCAGCCACACACACACGCACCCACAGCGTGACCCTTCCTCGTCATCAACGCGCAAACTCTCTTTCTCGCTGCCCCGACGATGAAACGCCATGATTCCCACCTCTTGGCTGCGCTGCGCTGTCGACTGGCAAGCTGCCGTTGGCTGGGGGCGCCCCAGCTGAAGCGGGCATTTCTCGATTCGCACACCCGGAATAGGCGAACGTGAGGGGCCTCCCGAGCCCACGGGTCCCATCCGCCGCCCACCCACCCATGGACGACGTAATGCTTCCTGTCGGTAGTTGAATAGACTGACTGCAGGCAGGTGCACATCTGCCCTTGATCTTTTCTTCTTCTTGAAATCCCGGGACTGGCCCCTGACTTTGAACCTCTACATTCCTTGACCCTATAATCTCGAACTCGATTCGAGCCCCATCTCCGTCCCCAGTGACTGCTCCTCCGCCTTCATTGATATCGCACCCCCGCCGACTCGTCGTCACCTACTCTTTCGTACGCGGCGAAGTCAGGATCGCAAAAGGAAAGAACAAGAACAACAAAGGCAGTAGCAAAACAAATCCTCACCACCATGGGCGCCGGATCGGGCCTCGCCCTCAAGGGCATCCAGTGGTTCCTCCGCGGCGTGCAGTTCTGCTGCGCCGCCCTCGTCCTCGGCGTCTTCTCCTACTTCCTCGCCACCCTCTCCAACCACGACCTGCCCATCGCCACGTCGGTCAAGGCCGTCGAGGGCATCTCGGGCGCCGCCGTCCTCTACACCATCGCCGCCCTGCTGCTGCTCTGCTGCCTCGCCGGCTTCTTCCTCACCTCGCTCATCGCCATAATCCTCGACATCTGCTTCATCGGCGCTTTCATCTACGTTGCCGTCGCGAACCGCAATGGCGCCACCTCGTGCAATGGGTACCTCGACACGCCGTTTGGGCGTGGCGAGGCCGGTGCTATTGCGGAGGGCCGGACGGGTGGGTTCACTGCGCTGCCGAGTTTCCGCACCGCGTGTCGCCTGCAGACGGCGTGTCTAGCCGTCTCCATCATCATCATGTAAGTCGGACTCTCCTTCACTCCTCCAAGCCTCTTCCTCCGTGGAGATTTGCGTACTAATGCCCTCCCGCCCCAGCTTCTTCTTCGTCTTCTCCATCCTCATGGAAATCGCCCTCGTCCGTCACCACCGCAAGGAGAAGCGCTTCGGCCCCGGCCCGACCAACAACTACACCTCCGGCTACGGCACCAAGCGGACCGCCAGCACCGCCGGCGCGGGCGGCGGCTTCTTCGGCCGCTTCCGCCGCAACAAGAACGCGCCCGCCGCCGCCGACGACGCCAACGCCCTGCCCGAGCACACGCACCCGGGTCAGCTCGACCCCGCCGCGGCGCGCCAGAGCTACGGCACCGAGAACACGGCCTACTACGGGCACGACGGCCGCGGCGCGAGCGCCGACTACGCCAAGCAGGAGACGGGCTACGGGTACCCGAGCACCACGCCTTCCGCTGGCGGTTATGCTTCTGTCCCGCAGACGACGAGCTACTCGCCTGCCCCCCCGGCGCAGACGGGTGGCTACCAGCAGCAGCCCACGACGGGCGGTGCCTGGCACGCGCAGCCGCAGATCAACGAGCTGCCTGCCAACTATCGCTACGGAGATGGCGTGTATGACCGCTAGTAGACGCCGCCGCCGCTCCCCTCCCTGCGAGGCAGTCAGTCAGTTGTACGATAACGGTGCTGCGAGAAATGGAATGGCCCTGTGATACCCCTCGTCTTATACGGCGAGACGTGGCTGGCGATGAAGTCGCCCTGATGCCATCCGGGGTTGCTTTGGGGAACCCTGACCTGCGATTAGTGGACGACGTAAAAAAGCGGCGTTGCAGAGGCGCCCGTAATGCTAATAGTATATGTATGTATCATGCTCAAAGACTCTGAATAGCAATATCAAGAATTGGTCCCGGAAGAAGTTGGAAAACACGGTGCACCACTGTCATAGCCAGCTTTGTACTATTGGGAGCAGTTCTCATTGTTTCACTCATTCCACTCTATGCGCGCTTGTCTATTCGTAAGGATATATGCCATGCCCCCTCCCGGTTCACCCTCCACCCTCCTACGACGGCCACCCCTCGACGTGGTCCATCTCGCTCATGCCGTCGTTGCTGCCCATGTCGGGCCAGTTGACGTCGAGCCTCTCGAGCTCGCGCGTGAAAAAGTCCTGCTCCTCGCGCATGGCGACGCGTATCTCGGGCGCAATCTTGTCCGGGTAGCGGCGGACGTTGCGCCAGTGCGTGAGGCTGCGCAGGGCCTGCTCCTGCGGCAGCGCGCCCTCGACCTCGGCGTCGACGTCGCTGCCCGCGAGCCACTCGTCGCGCAGCTCCGGCCGGCAGTGCAGGTACACGGCCGTGATGACGCGCATGTTGCTCTGCCGCCACTTGCGCCCGCAGTACGGCACCTGGTTCTTGAAGAGCTTGAGCGTGTACAGCCGCAGCTCCTCCTGCGGCACGCGCAGCGACTTGCGCAGGATCGTCGACGACTTGTACTGCACCAGCAGCAGGTTGCGGTGCGCCTTGTTCTTGCACATCTTTTGCATCACCCGCAGGTAGTTGATGAGCGAGAAGAAGTTGCGCCGCGAAAAGTCGGTGATGGGCTCTGCCGGCAGCGGGTTGACGGGGTAGCCGAGCTCGTCCACCTCCGGCCTGGTCGAGGCTTGGTCATCGCTGCCGGCGCCTTCATCCTCCTCCTCCTCTTCTCCCGGCGCCTCTTTGTTCCCCTCTTCGGGGGATCGCCTCCGCTTGATAGGGGGCGGCGCTGCGCTATCATCGCTTTCCTCTCCGGGGCGCGGCTCGTTGCCCTCATGCTCTGCCTCTGCCTCTGCCTCTTCCTCATCTTCCTCGCCCTCGATGTCGCTCTCGACCTTATCCTTGAACTTGGATCGCAGGTTGCAGAATTGAAAGAAGCTATCAAAGTCAGCCACCGGCCACGGTCACGGAACAAATGTTGGACACCAACCTGTTTTCGACGCGGTCCATCTTGCTGTCGACAACCTGCTGAATGTCCTGGTGCGCAAATAACTTGAGCACTAGCGGGACATAGTTAGAGTCCAGCAGAAGCTGCGTTAGGTATTCGAACTTGAGTACATCTAGTTATCGTTAGCTCACGCACCGCCACTGCGGCACGATAGAACACTTACGAGACACCCTCAGCCACTTGAGCAACAACAAGAGAATTGCGGTCATCGCCTTGGACGTAATCTCTCTTGTCCTCGCCGCGTCAATCTCCTCGGGAGACGGCTCGGGCTCCTCGGCATGCGGGATCTGGCCAGCCGCCTCGGGAGACCTCTGCGCGGCGTGACCGCCGTTTAAGCCGGGGTTGGCTCCCCGACCAGCCATGCCGTTGGGTACTTGCGCCGACTGCTGCTGCGTCACAATGGCCGTGACGTTGACGAGGATTGGCCGCAAAAGTACAATCACGAGTGACTGAAGATGGGGGAGCGCTTCTTTCTGCAGCGGGCTGTCAGCCACCAGAAAGACGAACCACCAACGAGGAACTTACGTAGAACTTTTCGACGGCGACAAGTCTTTGCCTGTCCCTCTCACTCAGCCGATCCGGATGGGGGCCAAAGTCCACTTCCTCGTCTGGGGGATGCGCCCTCTCCTTCCTCTCCTCTTCCTTGAGTCCCTTGAGAACCTCCCTCTCTTCCAGCGACAGCTCGTCGAGGCTGAGGCCCTCGATCTCGTCATCATCGTCCTCAACCTCCCATCCGCGCTCGAATTTGAGGAATCGCTCGCGCTCGTCCCATAGCTGGCGGGTCGCACGGGTCATCCGAACGCGGGACGAAAAGAGCTCCCCAGCTTCCAGAATCGATGCTGGGATGTCGCTACCCTCCCAGCGTCGGCTCACGAGAGCCTCGTGAATGCCAATCATGCCCTTTCCGCCGGCACTATTACTAGTAGCGTCGAGCGGCGGGTACATGAATGGGAAGTTTTGGTTGGTTTGGTAGTTTTGCTTCTTGCCTCCCTTTCCGCCTACGCCAGGAGATGGCGGCGGCGAGGGCGCGGGCGTGGCAATGTGGACGGGCTGATGCAGGATGGAGGCCCCGCCACCTTGGGCGTGGGCTGGCGCTGGAAGTATGCCGTTCGAGGCGTTATTCCTGGCTGATTGGTGCGGCAGGGGTGGGAGGAGGGAGTTGTTATCTGCCTCGAGGGGTATCAACGGCTGTGGAGGGACGTAGGCTGGATACTTTGACGTAATTTCCTGGCGAAAGGCGTGGTAGTCTATGGGCGACGCTGTGATGGTCTCCTTGTCGCTGTTTTCGCTCGTCATCTCGCTGGTGGCCATCTTGACCTGCTCAAGCTCCTTGGTCCCGCCGAAGACGAGCAGGATGGATTTCCAAAACAGCAGGAAAATCTGTCTCCGTCAGCGGCGAAGTATAGATGGCTGTGAATGGGATGGTCATTACCTGCATGTGAGGCATCGTACTTTGCTCGTCCCATCGGAGCTTCGAGGTTGCGGTGAGCATGAAATCCACCAACGATGGGTTCAACTCGACTTTGTGACAGTTAGTGCAGTCCGCGCAAACCTGTCGAGAGGAGAGGGGGGGGGGGGATCCGAGACATACGGAGCTTGTTGTATGACGAAGACATGTCCTCTGGGTCGCTGAGAGCCTCCTGAATGGCAATGTACATGATGGTCATGAGGTTCATCAGCTCATCCTGCGCCTCCTGGGGGCTGGCCTGCTGCTGAATGTCCCCAGACCTGCACTAGTTAGCGAAAACTCCGTACACATCGAAGTTTGACGATTTCTTGATACTTACCAATGCATCTCGAAGCAGTTGCGAAGCGCCCCCCAAACGACGGGGAGCCCCTCAAGCGAGGCCAGGCACTCGACGCCCGCCTTGATGGCCTGCAGCTGCGATATGCTCGCAATAGAACGCCCCTCTCCCGCCGTCGCGTTTGGCGTCGCCGTGTCTCCCCACCGACCCAGCACGAGGTACACCAGCTTGCCGATGGACGCAGACCGGAGTGCCGCGTCGTTGGACTGCACGCCCGCAATGGCCGCCTGCACGAAGCGCGCGCGCGTCCCGTGGTCCGCGTCGTCCCACGCCAGCGTCTCCCTCGCGGCGCCTTCGCCGTCTCCGCCAGAGCCGCCGCCCCCATTGCTGTTGCCGTTCCCGCCGTCGCCCGCCTCGGTGCTGTTCCAGTGCCACTCAAACGCCTTTTGCGCGGCGTTGAGTCGTACCCACTGCCAGAACTGGTACACGAACCACTCGTCAATCTCCTCGGCGTGCGGGCCCATGTCCGAGTAGACAAAGTCGTACGCCACGGGCTCGGCGCGGTTCACCTCGGCGACGATGCGGCGCAGCTGCAGCAGGGACAGGGAGTCGGTCGGCTCGGGGCCTTGTTGCTGGCCTTGCTGTAGCTGCTGCTGTTGTTGCTGAGAGAGCTGGCCTCTGCCTCGCCCGGCGCCCTGCTGCGGCGGCAGGCTGGGCTGCATGGCATTCCGTGGCAGGCCGGGCCGTGTCGGCGGCGCGGGGACGGGCGGCTTGTCGACCTGCTGCTGCGGCTGCTGCTGCTGCTCGGCCACCACCTGGCCCGTATCGGCGACATCGCCGGTCGGCTTAGCGGGGTCCGCCGCACCGTCCTGGCCAGCTGCTGCCCTCGAGGGCCACAGGCTGTTCATCGTGCCGGTCGTTGTCGTTCCGTCGTCGTGGTGAAGGAGGAGGGGGAGGTGAGGCTGCGATGGTGGTGGTGGTGAGAGTAGCTTCGTCCCCCGTGGCACATCATGAGCGCGCCAGCTGGGACGATGGGTGCCGTCGATGTCGCTCTACTCCATTGACGGCCGCGCGTCTCGAGAATGTAGACGGAGTTCGGGGGTTCGTCGTGGTCGGTCCAACGCGGCGCGGCAGTTGTCGCGTGTCGTCGTCGCCTGGGTGTGGTGGAGGGGTCCGCGTTTCGGCGTCTGTGAGGTGCAGAGCTGGATGGACAGCCCTGGAGAGCTCCCAGGCCCGTTGGCGGTGGAGGTGGTAACGGCCGCCGCTAATTGGCTGGCGGTCCACCGCCAGCTGCTTGAGTGAACCTCAAACCCCCACTCGCAGCAATAGCCGCGCCATCCGTCAGGGGTCCAGGAGCCAGAGCTCGATCTACGAGAGCACGAGCAGGAAGGCGTTCGCGGCAAGAATGATAATCGTCATTGCAAATTCAAGTCCAATTGCTTCTAGAAACGCCCGCTTGCGTGAGAGAAAAGGAGCTCCGAAACCCTCTCATTACCATCTCACTCAGATCCATCATCCGAGTCCGACCCGTCGCCGCCGTCGGCCCCGCCAGCACCCTGCTTCTTCTCCTTCTCCTTGGCCCTCCTCCTCAGCTTCTTGAGCCTGTTGAGCCTCTTCTTCTTGTCCTTGAGGTGCTCCTCCTTGTCCGCCAGCTGCTTCTTCGCCGCCTCCTGCTTCTCCTTCTTCGCCCTCTCCTTCATCCTGTGGATGATGCGCGCCTTCTTTCCCGGTCGTTTCCTCCGCCTCTGCTCCTCGTCGTTGCCGTCGCCATCGTCGCCTATTTTGCGTGACTTGCCGGCTCCCGCCTTCGCGCTTTTGATGTCGCCAGCTTTGCGTGTCGTGACGATCCTGGTCACTTTCCAGGGCATCTCGAGACCCCACGATCTCTGTTGGGAGCGCGCAAGCACGTCCTCGCCACTCACAGCGGCGTACTCGTACTCTTTCCTGAGCTCTGGCGGGATGTCCGTGACGAGGTAGTACTGCGCTGTTCTCTTGCGGATGATGTCGCCGTCGCCCTGGTTGGCGGCCTGGTCCTCCAGCACGACCTTGGGCGCCGCGGCCGTCGATGTGCTGAAAAGCTTGAACTCGAACTCGCCCAGGTCGGCGTCCTCGTCCCCATCAACCTCATCGTGGGTCTCGGTTTGGCGGCCTTTCTCCTCTTTTTTTGAACCAGAGGATGGCGGTTTAGGGTCTGCGGCGGGCCGGTCTGCTGCGCTGGGTGCACCCACGTCGAGCCCGAGTGACCGCGCAATCTGGGCGTTCAGACGAGCCTGCAACTCGGCGTCAACCTCATCGCCGTCGCTGCCGCTCCAGTCCGAGTCTCCTGAGCCGTTGAGATCCTCCCGTCGGACTCTGTAGTCATGTCAGCGGCGAGTCGACGGATGGGTTGGCAGCACTCTCCGCTGGGTGTCGAACCTCTTGGCCTGAGGCACCTCGAACATGACTGCCTCACCGCCGCGAGGCAAGCTTCAAGAAACAATGCAATGCGTTTTGGCGCCCCGCGAAGTCAATGTGTCGGCCCGTGGAATCGTTTCACAGCCACGTTTGATATCGAAATGTGATGCGAGAAGAATGAGGCGATGAAGGCTCTCATCCAAGCGCTGTCCTTGTCCAAAGAATTTGGCTCCGCAACTGGCCTTATCTTATCGGGCGTGGACTTATGCGCGTGCGTGGGGAGGTACCTACCTCAACGCCAGACTTTGCGGGCCGTCCAGGTACCGAGCTCAGGCCCACCGGCTGTGGCCGCCAGCGAGCACGCTACCAGCCAACGAACCCCCTCCGGCAGCGGTACTGAGTGCGGGCTGTGACGGGAATGGACTCGATGCCACCGACGAACGTCACGGGCTTCACTTGCATGTGAATTCAAAAATCAAACATCACAGCAGTATGCACACCCGCCATTTAGGAAACAACTACAGTCAAATCAAAAGTGTATCCCAGAGCTAGAGAAAACAACCTGTATAACATGGATATCGCGTAACATAAACCACCCGCCCAAATGAAGGAGTACTAAGACAACAGGAGAAGAAACCGCCCAAGTCGACTCGCCTCGCCTACACTCCTAGTGGTCACCGTACAGGACAAATGCCCGCCCTCGAAAAGAAATCCTTCTTATCCAGGAAAAGAGGTTCGCGTCTCGCCCAAAGTGCCTGCGCCTGGAGGCCCGCTTTGGTCTGGCCGTCCATGTCATGCCAACGCCGAGTCCTGTCGACAGAAACTCAAAAACAAATCCCACCCCCCGGACCGTCGCTCGTTCGGGCCTGTCACAGGTCCGCCGGCAGCTCGCCTGCTCGAGACCATTCGTCTCAGCTAGAGAGACCGCGTTGACGTTGCGGGTCGTCCGGCTGCAGCACCTGCCAGAGCCCCATCTCATAATGCTGCCCTTTCGTCATCCATGCTCGTCCACATGTTACAGAGAGGCCACCCTCATACTTGTAACGACTGCTTGCATGCGCGTCATGCCAAGATGAAGGACTCACGTCCCCACGGCCCGCTCAATGCCGGGTATCGATGCTCGGCTTCCCCGGTCAGTCCAAGCTCGGGCACTTCGCTCGGCCTGGCCGTGACTCGTCACACGGCACACGACTGGCTGATTGCCGGCCATGGGCCATGCGGATGCGCGGACGACCAAGAAAGTGGGAAAGGTGGTCTCGGAGCCTGAAGCCTGCAGCAACCGGTTGCATCGTCCCACCCGTCTGCTCCAATCGACTCCGCCCCGTCCCGTCCATGACCAGGATGCCACACATTCATACGTTCCGCTGCTATTGGCCCTCCCGCCACATGCCGGGGCCCGGAGAGGAGCCTGGCATGCGGAATGCCTCGATACTGATCTGCTCCTTTGCCGGGACGTAAACGCTGCTGAGACCCATCGCCATCGTATGATTTGTCGCGCTCTCTTCCGCAAAAAGACGACGGGGTCCCGCCCGGGTGATTCCCAGACGCTCTTCTGCGTGGTCAAGAAAATCTCGTACGGGCTTATTTATCCCGCTGCAGAAGGGCAACCGAGCGAAGATGCGAGAAATGTTGTACAAGGATCGCACGGCCGCGATGGGAAATTCTAGGCCCGGGACATCCCGCGGCGCCCGGGCCGGCCTTGAGCGGCGAATGAACCCGCGGGGCCTAGAATCTCCCTCTACGCCGCACTCCACGAGTAGTTGCTCATGGAGTCAAAAGCGGCGCGAGGACCGCTGCCGTAAACGGCCGACGAGCCCACCTCATGCTTGAGAGGCGGGATAGTGGACGCTCCGCTCTTGTAAGGCTCGTGAGAAAAAGAGTACGATGACCGTGCGTCTGCGCCTGCGTATGCTAGGCTGGAACTGGGCTCCGCCGCTGTCGTTGTCCAGCTGTTCGACGAGGGATAATAATCTCTAGACGAAGGGTTGGTAGAGTTTGACGACTCGGATGTATAGCTAGGCGCATGTGAGGCGTCGCTTGTACTGGCCGCCGAGGTCCGGTAAGGGCCATAGCGGTAGTCGGACGAAGCGTCCGTGTTTGCGATGGAGCCAGAGCTGTGCACTGACTGATGACCCGCCTGGCGGGGGCTCTTAGACGGTCTGGGGTTTCCGTCTAGATATCGGGGCATGTTGAAGGCGCCGTCTGTCGCGCCCATGGTGACGCTGGGCGCTGAGCTGGTATAGGCGTACTGCGACCGGAGCGAGGACTGCGGCTGCTCTCCCGTCGTGAGGGACAACGAGGGTGCCAAGGAAGTCTGCAGCGGCAACTCCTGAGGCTCGCTGGCGAAGCTGGACGCGCCTGCGAGTGGCAGCTTCGGGTACGGTTCGCCTCCGATACTTGTTGACGGGTAGGCGCCTGGCCCTGACGTAGGAACCTGCTGGCTCCATGACGGATAGGAGCTGCGAGGCCAGTTCATTAGCAAAGGACGACAAGCGAGTCTGCAAATGGACCTACTTAGACCGCATCGAGCTCAGAGAGCTGGCTTGCGACTTAGGGGGGCTGAACGTAAACGAGGAACGCGGAACCTGCATATCGATGCTCCTTGCCTTGTCCTGCTTCAAGCTCATGGCGCTGGCTACAACACCAAGCCCGGTCTCGACCAAAGCTTGGCCCCGTGAGCCGGCGCTGGAACCTAGTAGAGGAATTTCCTTGCGTGCCTGGAAGTTGCGTGGGCTTCGTCCTCGCACGACGATAGGGGCGGTAGTCGATTCCGTGAGCACAACCTTGCTGCCGTCAGAAAGTGTCCCGTGGACCTTCAGGTGCAGTACAAAGTGTTGTTGAAGTTCCTTTCTGCGTCCGTTGTTCGCCGTGGCACTATACATTCGAGGGTCAGCGGCCGTCACTCACGGGCGAAGAGAAGCCTCGCCTACATTCTGAACTGGAGCCGACGCCACCCAACGGGATAGACGGCCAATTCTCCGTCGGCGTCCGCGCCGTCATCCTGGAATGGTATCAAAGGCACAGCAGGGGGTTCCTGATCCGGCGTTTGCGCGATCTCAGGGGTGTTTGGTGGCGGCGTCTTCCAAGGGATTACGATGAGGCGAACGCTGTTGCCGTCGACTGACTCGATGGCGGAAATGGAAACCTCCATGCTGGTAATGGGAAGCGTCTCGTTCGACTCGCTGAGCACGGAAAGCTGTCCTCGCGGCATCACCAGGGAGCCGCTGATCTGGAAGAGGTTGCGACGGTAGCAGGTCAGTTCGGGCTGCATCGTCGAGCCGTCGGTGGCGTTGGCGGGCATCTCCGACAGAAAGAACATGCCGTGCAGCTGTGCGGACAGATCCATCTGCTGCACGCGGCCGTGATGGTCAACCACGGTCGACTTGTCCTGGGCTCGTCTAAATGCCAACAGCTTGTGGTCCTGGTTGACAGTCAGGCGTGAGCCGTCGTCCCGGAGATCCTGGACGATCTCCTGGTAAGCGGGGGGCTCGGCTTGCGAAAAGGAACGCTTCAGGTTCGAGTAGCTCGGGTGTCGCTCGTAGGTGCTTGGCTCGTCCTGGGAGTAGCCCCCGTAGCGGTAGGCCTGATGATCCATGGGCGCGTGGCCGCTTCGAGGACGAGCGGCCGCCGACGACGAACTGTGGAAGGGGGAGTCCATGGCGCCTCCCAGCCGGCTCGGCAGATGGGACGAGCCGCCATAGTTGGGCCAAATGCTGGAGTGAGCGGGCTCTCCTCTCAACTCCGTCATCGTAGCCGGGTATGCTGCGGTGGTCATCATGAGATCATATCCTCGCGCCGAGGGTTTGGGCTTCTGTGCCAAGTTGGATCAAGGGGACGTCTGAGGCCCGCGCTGCTTCTTATGGGCACGAGAAAGGGGATGAGGACGTGCGTGGGTTGCTATATGTCGTCCCTGGACGGTGACACTGGTGGCTTTTAGCTTTCCACGGACCGAGTCGATGGAGCAGATGGCCTGAGCGGATGGCGATGCGAGTGATCCAGGTCCTGTACGGCGAGCGAGGCAAAAGCGGACGAGGTTGCGGGCGGGCGTATACTTGTATCCCGATGGAGCCCCAAGACGGCAGATGGTGGAGGGGCGTGTGTGGTAAAAGGCCCGGCACTGCTCCGGGGGCGGATACATCTGACTTTGGGACACGGCCGGTGTTAACATCCAGGAACGGGAACTAGGCTGGAGCAACGGGTCCCTTGGACAAGGGACAGTGGACAGGTCGCATCCTGGGCCCAGATGGCTAACACCGATTCACGACGACTAATCCTCGTGGTGAACCTCCGTTTGAGGCGCGAGCCGGCCCAGCCTGGGCGCACGCCGCTCGTCTTGGAAGGAGACAAGCGGACCCAGACCGAGCGAACGTCTCCGAGAGATCAACGTTAAACAGACAATCCACCCAGGTCCGCGTGGAGAGACTAGTCGCGGAAGAGCCCAGGACATTGCTTCGTACGTCGCAATGCCGGGCTCGAAACCCCAAGCCTGAACGTAACAGAGGCCCGCTGCCACACGCTGACGACGTCTCACTGATCTATGCATCGTGGCGCTGCGCATGTCTCTTCGTCTGCAGAAGAAGCGCCAGGGAAAACAAGCAGAATAGGCCCAGCCCTGCTGGATGGCAGGCAGGCCGGGGGGCAGTCTCGAGGTTGCGTTGGGGGCGAGATCAGCTCTGACGACACGGGAGAGACTGCCGTGGGATGGGTGATGTGCGAGACAATCGCAGGTGGCATACGAGATCGTTGGAGAGGCAAAAGGAAACAGGTGACTGACAAGGCAGGGCTCCTGGCGAGACATGCCTCCATGTCGCCCGTGTACACACACCCCTCCCCTCATCATCCATCCAGGCCGCCGTCTGCCGAGGACCTGATTTGACGTCTGCTGCTGGCCGCTGGGCTGCTAGCAGGCTGGCGGCCCTGGTGCTTCTGCATCAAGGTCCTTTGCGCGCCGAGTACCAGTGACGGGCCAGGGAGGGCCGGTCGGTTCTGCCGAGGCGGTGGCTTGGGCGGATGGCTGGAGGAAGCCAAAATAGACCCCAGGTAGCGTCTACCTGGGCTCGGCAAGGGCCACGGCCCACGGTCCCCATCGCTGTCGATTGGAGGACGGACGGGGACAAGAAGCAGGGGTCAGGCGTGAAGGTTGGCGAAGGCAGTGGAGCAGCGTGGGGATCCATCCTTCGTGGTGGGCCAGTTCACAAGCCGTCCCAAGGGCACATTCCGAACCCTGGCCACTGACGAACCCGGGACCCGCAGGGCAGCTGCTGCAGCGTCGAGGACGTGTGTGTGCTCCGTTCTTGCGACAGGCAGATTGCTCCGAGGCCAGCGGAGGGCCAAGATGAGGCGCGCGTGTTCTAGAAGATGGCACCGTTGGAGACGGCGGGCGTCAGGTTCAGCTGCGGGTGTGCGGCCGGCGCTGTCGCGGCGCCGAAGCAGCGCAAATGGCAGATCCCAGCCGATTGACGGAGAAGGGAAGCTCGAATTCCTGCACGAACGACGCGCCTCCCCACGGGACGCCTTCTTCGCTTGTCCGCGACGGCGGAAGCCGAGGCAGCGGACCACATCACGAGAGGGCGAGGCGGCATGTACGGCCCGCAAAATGCGGCGATGTGTGTGTGGGAGCGTCAGTGGCCGGTGGTGTGTGCGCGCGTCTTGCGTCCGTGTCCTGGTCTGTGAGTGCGAAGAGCGTTGTGTGAGCGTGCGTGCGTCCGGGTGTGTGTGAGTGTGCGCGTATGCAATGGCCCCAAGGCGCGATCGAGCGTGTTGTACTTCGTACGACCGAACCGTCGTCAATCAGGAAAGGACCCAAGCAGAGGCCAGCAAGAGGCCAGTGTCAAAGACCCAAGCCGAACCAGTCGGCCGAATTGTCGACACCGGGCAGCGCGCATGGAGGAGCATGAGGAGCTAGTTCTGTCCACGCGGACAATGACCGAGGGCTCTGGCGCACTCTGCTCGCCAGTGTCTCCGCGAGCGAGCCTTTGCGTCGGCGTCAGTGCACTCGGAGAGCGGCAACGCGCGAATGTGTCAGATGCGAATGAGAGACAGGCACTGGATGACGACGGGGGACGGCGGCGACTGACGACGGGGATTGGAACTCGAACTGGGCTCGGGCGGGCCCTCTCAGTCCTGGGCAGGGTGCGGGTGCGGGTGCGAGAGAGCCAAAAGAGCCCGGCCCAGCCCAGCCCAGCCCAGTCAGTCGCCCAGCGCAAGGCAGCAGCAATCAGAGATGGTCGAGATGGAGCCTCCCACTAGCGGCGGCACTGACTGGGCTGACGGGTGCGCCTCCATCGCCCCCATCTCCCCTATCGCCGACACGGAGCCAGAGATGGGTGGACGGAGCGGGCTGCCGTGGTTGGTCTGGCAGGGGGGGCATGGGGCGGCCGTCAGTGGGGGGGAGGGTGGTGAGGGGCGCCTCTTCTTCAGGGTTGGGGTGCGCTTCGTTGCGCTTGGGGCCATGCCCGGGGCTCGAGGGCCCATTTGCCGTTGTCGTCGTCGTTGCCCAGGCCCTGTCGACGACCTTTTTGAGTCGGGCCCACGATGTGATGCGATGCGATGCGATGGGTCCGCAGGGGACGGACGGATGGACGGGCGGACGGCGGGAGAGGCATCGCCGTCAGTGTTTGTGCTGTGCTGTGCTGTACTGTACTGTTCTGTTCTGTTCTGTGCACCGATTGTGCAGTGCTCTACCCCGTTGTGCCGTGCGTGCTCTGCACCGCGATGTGCTCCTGCGGTGGCTTGGTGCCTGTTCGTCGCCCGATCTGCCCGCGCTGGCGCCCGTCGTCGTCGTCGGTCTGGGCGCTCCTGGTCCTGGCGGGGAGTGGACTCTTGTCGCCGCTCGCCTCCCTCGTCTCGACGCTGGCCTGGCCGCAAGGCGATCCCGTCACCGTGACCGGCACCGGGGATCACCTCGCCTCTCGATCAAGGCTTGCCCCGTGCGCCGCCCCGTTTGACCCGAGAATTCGTGATTCGTGGCTGCGGCCCAGCCATGTCTTACCTTGCTCAGCGAAACGAGCAAAGGTCCTGTGGCGTCGTCGACCGTGGTCGGTCGAATGTGAGGTGCGGCGTTTGGGCTCGTTGGTGCGGTGCACTGCACTGCAGTCCAGTCCAGGCGGCGGGACGCGAGGGACCTCGCGCAATGTCCCGCCCGAGAGCTGGTGACAAATGCGGAGGGGGGACTGGCCACGCACTGCCGAAAGGGGAAGCTAGGCTGGGGGCGTGGGCTCGAATGGCTCGGCAGGATGAAGGTTGAGGACGGCAGGTCGCGAATGGGAGGCACGAGACGGGTACACACGCGGACAGAGAGGTGGTGGAGGTGGTGGAGGAGGTGGTGGTGGTGGCCTCGCGCCTCGCAGCCTTCACCTCGTTTCGCAGTGGCAGATGTAGACAAACAGGGGGAGGAAGGCGCCGGCGAGGGGAGGGGTGTTCCTGCTGCAGGGGTGTGAGGCACCACCTCATGGCACCTTAATGACTGCCCTGTGCCATGCGCTGACGAGGAAGCACGCACTGGAACCTGGAAGGGAAAGGGGGTGACGGGGCAAGCCGCCACCAGCCACCTCCACCATCTTTCTGTGAGGTACTCCGTGTGAAAGGCACTAATAGCATAAGGTATAAGCCATCTTGCCCGACTCGATACGTAGCAGTGGCATATGAGTTCTTAGCACAGCGAGTGATTCCCACGCGCCGAGATGGCGGCCGAAGGTGGTGGCCGATGGACGACGAGGGGGAGTGAGCGGTTGATGGTGATAGGTAGGTCCAGGCGGTAGGGGTATGGGACGATGTCCATGATGGGTGCTGGTATGGTGCCAGGCTTCTTGGCCTCGTCGTCTTTCGCAATCCCGGATTAAGCTTGCAGCGCCAAGGGTCGTCGGCCGATGCCTGGACCTGGACCTGGCGGCGGCCGCGACCTGCTACGACCGGTGCGCGGGGGCCAGCCAGGCACCGTACGATTCTGCGATATGGCGGCAGTTCCAGGATTCCTTGGTTCTGCTGCCGCTTCCAAGGCGAGCACCCCGTCTGATACTGGACGGAGCGAGGATCGATAAGGGAGCAGGGAGCAGGGAGCAGGGGAATGCGCCTCGCCTCAACGGCCAACGATGGATGGAGTGCAGATGTTGGCCACCTATCCAACGGCTTACAGCCCTGGGGAGCTGTCTCTTATACACATCTAGATGTGTATAAGAGACAGGAGCAGGGGAATGCGCCTCGCCTCAACGGCCAACGATGGATGGAGTGCAGATGTTGGCCACCTATCCAACGGCTTACAGCCCTGGGGAGAGGGCATGGGGCCTGTCGATGACGGACGTCGTTGCTTCTTCGTTACCGCCATTCTGGCACGCCGCGTTGGGCCTGCATGAGACGGGTTTCAAGCTTCGTCCTCCCGGGCTGCGCTGCGCTGCCGTTGTTGGGCGCACAGCTGAGGTGCCGGGAGGCGGGCAGTGACGGTAAGTCCGTTGTCCATGGATGGCCGATGGGCGGGGCCGGAGCCATGACGGCTGTGGTGCGCTCCAGCTGCACCAGGAGAGGACAGCGAAGGTAGGTTGGCGTCGGCGCCGGCGCTGGTGCTGGCGCTGGCGCTGAAGATGGCAATTGGAATGGAATGTATGCCCGCAGAAACGCAGCGGGTAGTGGCCGGCTGGATGTCGATGGAGCCTGGCGGGCACCGACAAAGGGGACAGACAGGCGGCGGCCGTGCCTTAGCCGCAGAGTTAGCGGTGCAGCGACGGGCGCTAGGGGGTTCCTGGCCTGCGCTGGCCTTCCATCGGGTATCTCGCAGCCGGGGGGTGCAACCTTGTGTTGGTGCCCTGGGCTTTACGGCGACCTGAACATGGTGGTGACCTGAGTTCGGCGTTGCCAACTGCCAGTTGGTTGGATCCTGGCTGCCGAATACCACCGCAAGAACCCGGTCGTCTGGTATCAGAGGCACAGGGCATGACGAGGGACTTGGATTAAGGTGTCGTCCGTACCTGAAGGAGCATGGAAACCATGGAAAGTCCCTCCAGTACTCCGTTCAAGGACAGCTGTGCGCGCGTCGTATTACTCGGAACTCCGTCATCCGTAGCCTGGACATCGTACGTTCCAACTTCTGAGCCAACGATAGTACGCCATGCCTGCTCGCACTTTTGTGGAAACGACTCGTCGCGGGCGCAACCAGGCGGGTTGACTCCCACGACGACTAATACACGCGGAGCTTCCAACGCGGCCAGGGCGGACGCGAATCAATGATGCTATATGCGGACGTCACATTCCGTCTCGGACCTTCACGCCTCATCTCGCCATCTACCTGCCCATTGAGCGGCGCTTCGCCGGAAAACGCCATTCATACTAACGTACTACTTGGTAGGTATTTCGTGCATGTGTTATTTCTTCTCGGAGGCGCCTGGTGGTGGGGGATCAAAGTACCCAAGCCAGCCAAGGTACCTCCTGCCCGTGGCGTTCACAGGGTGTCTCGCCCGGGGCAGAAACAGCGGGTCCGCATGGTATTCAGAGGACGACGACGGGAGGCGCCCAAAATAGACGCTCGAACTGGTCTCTCTCTGCGCACGCGGCCGACACATGCAAGCACTTTCCTTCAATGGATTTAGCACCGCACCTCACCGCAGCCGCCGCTCTGTGCTGTGAGGTCCTCTGGAGTGTGTACATAGTGTACAGCGGCCGCCTTCTCCCGTCGCCATCTACCGTCGACATCTGGCTGCGCCGGCTCGCCGGACCTCCGGCCCCCTCGAGCACTTTCAGGTAGGCGCGGCCGAATGCGAGCGCTTGGCCTTTTCCTGGAGCCATCGCGAGGGAAACGGACCGAGGAAGCCGGCGCCTCTGTGTCACTCCACGTTGGGCGGAGGCTGCAGAAAATCTCTGCGAGGCAGAAGCAGGCGAGCACTCACGGGGAAGCAAGCTGGTTACACGTACACAGGATTTTTCGGTCCCCGCCAATTGGTGATGCATCGCGCACGCCCCTGTGCTGTGCGTACCTACACTGGGTACTCCCGCCGCTCTTGGAGCTGGCGTGTTGGTGTGCTGCCCGTCTGCCCTGGCCCCTCGGCCCCGTAAGGTAGGCACGAGTAAGAGGTACAACACACTCCGCACTTGCTCAAACCAGAATGCCGTGTACTGAGTACCTTGCCGTGCGGAAGGCAGAGTTGGAGTACGTACCTTGTAGTACTGTAACTCAGGCGCTGCCCTGCGGCAAGGGGCAGCAGCAACCCCACGGGAAGTCGAGCATCAATCCCAGGCCGCACCTCGACCACCTTCGCGACGCTTTCCCTTGCCGCTCTCTTCATTCCATGCCTGCTCAGCCCACTCCGGCACTCTCCGGGTCTCGCCGCATTGTCCTTTTGTCTTTGTCTCCTTGATCTCGGCTGCCGCGAGTGCTGGGCGTCCGAGTCGACTCTCAAGGCTGCCTCTGCCCGACCCCTCCAACACTCGTCGTCATGGAACTCGCTGCTTGGCCAGAGCACATCGTCGAGACAGCCCGTCGACCGAACCAGGGGGGTCCCCGGACCTCACCTGATGTCACCGTCAAGCTAGCGACATTCTCGGCATGGAGCCTGGCCCGGCACGGCGATCCTGTTCCAGATTGGAAGTACCTGCTCGAACATGTGCCAACGTGCTCGCCCCGAACTCCTGTGCTTCCACCCAGCGTCTGCTCTTGCATGCGCCTAGCATGTACGAGCGTGCATGTATTGCATGGTACATGGTCAAGCGCAGTACTCGTACAGTATGCCCTGTCGACGGGATCACGTTGGCACTGCTTGGCTTCTGACTTTCCCCCAGGGTCCCAGGGGTGTGCGCCTCCCATCTGCCGTACCCTGGCCGTCATCGCGACCCCCAAACTTTATCGACTGCACAGCACAGTAGCATCCGGAAGCCTCGCCGTCCAGAGATCCACTGTAACCTCCAGTCGACGGCCTGAAGCCTGAAGCCACCGTCTCGAGGGCCGCGGCATGTACCATTGCTTGGCCATCTCCGACCACAAAGTGCGTCTGGACTAGGCACATCAGCACGCGGCAGGGTCCATTGAGAGATTGGACGGGCAGCTTTTGGCAAGTCCTCACGGGCCAGGCGCCGTCCGTCATTCTCGGCGGTACTTCGCACCCGTCTTATGAGTACCTGCGCCTGGGAGAGGGTACTCGTGTCTCTCGTTAGCTGCTCAGACCAGTGGCTCGTGCTTGACGCGGCTACTGGCGCGCACATGCACGGGCTCTTCCTGCTCGGTGGCAACGTCAACTTTCTTACACAGGGTTGGAGCCCGGACCAATCGCCGAGGCCACTTCTTCAACGGCAACGGGCACACGTCCCCTCCGTCGAAATCTGGGGGACCCTCATTTGGGAGCCCGAGGGAAATGGCGCGCACCACCTCGCTGGGCCCGAATTCACTGATCGCTCGCAAGGGCCCTGATGACACTCGCTTCCATCCGGCCGCCATCTCTCTCTCGGCCGGGTGCTGGCATAACGGTTGCGCGCAACCACCGGCAGCTTGGGGGCGTCCATGCCACCAACCTTTGCGGTAGTTGCATTGCGCTCTCCAGCGTTCCCACACCGGGATATTTTTCCTTGGTCTACCTCGCGATGTAACCATCAGGGGCTAGGCAGGTAGCTAGCGCACTTGCGAGATCTCGCTGCAGGATGCCACCCAAGCTGCTCTCCGTCGTGGTCTGTCGCTCGACTGATGCTCCAAACAGATGGGTTACTTCCCGCCCGCCCCCGCACGTTTGGAAATGGCCATGATTATTCTTGGGGCTACCTTGCAAAGGTTCGCGTCGGGGGGGCAACGGGCGATGGGACGTCCCGTCGAGATGCTACTCCGAGGGTGGCTGGCTGGCTGGCTGGCAAGAGCCGCCGAGTCGAATCGCACCCGCCGCGTCGATCTGGCAGTCGAGCTTCCTCATTCCGTCAACACGGCGGCGAGCGGCCACGAAGGGGCCGCTCTGGTGCAAGCATCCCAGCTGCCGCAATGCAGGACGGGGCGCGCCCCGCAGCATCTAGTCGAGCCGACTAATAAACCTGCGTGCCGAGAGGGACTTTTTGACGGTTGAGGGGTTTGGGGCCGAGATTGCGTTTGTTGAGAGTACGAAGCCAGTACCAGTACCTGGCCAGGCACTCGTCGCCATCCGCCAGCCCGGCTTAGAAGGTCTCGAAGCAGACAATTATAGCAACCATGTCGATATACGGGCATTTTGCGCCGTTTGGTTTGTCCTTTGCACCAAGCACCCGCACCGCGGGCCGTCCTTCATCTCGCAGCGCAGCCAATCGTGCGACGCCCGACCAAGTCGATTCGCTCGGTCAGTCGCGGATCAGGAGGCTGGCATGGAGTCTGGAGATGGGCCCTGACGATGGCCAGGGGAGCCCGCCCGCCCGCTGCGCGCAGTGCCGGAGATGGCAGCCCGCCACCGAAACGCCCGTCTGGGGATGACGGCGCCGTCCCGTTGGTGGCCCCGAGCCAGCGGATGCCCACGCAGCCATCAACCGGCTCTCTGCCATGTCGCGCGTGTCCAGCTGCCCGCCATGTCGCCCTGCAGTGCCACAGTTCGTCTCGCGCGTCACTCCCTCCTCCGTCCCGACCACATGGCCGCCGACAAGGGCTCCTTCCCGTGGCCGAGCCGACGCATGCGCGCGGGTGGCGGGTGGCAGCGTGGCAGCATGGCATCATCTGGATATGGGGCCCCCTCCGCTTGGACGTTGTGCGCGAAACGTCAAGACGAGAGAGAAGCGAGAGCTGCTGGCCCTTTCGGGCGGCGAGGCATTTGGACGAACGCCAACGCTACACAGCCGTCGACAGAGTTCTGCGAGCGCGCCCAGCAACACAAAGGTACCCGAGGCACCCTTCAGATGCCCACGGATCAAGCCCACAATTCTCGTCGAACTGGTGGATTGGCGCCACCCGCGCCCAAGAGCCCTAGGCCGGATCCAGGGTCGTGCCTCCGGGCGGCCCACCCACGCTGGGCGATCATCTCCGCCCGGAGGCGCTTCTCGCCGAAGAGACTGGCTCCGTCAGTGAAGTCATACATACATGCGATACACGGGCGGGCGTTAGTTAGCCCTTTGGCGCTCGCGGTTCCTGGCTTCGCGCAGCCGGCGGCCGAAATCCTTAGAGCCGGCGTTAGACCACCAGACGTCGCGTGCCGCAGTTGGAGCCCGTTGTGTATACTGCATCTTTACTATTGTCGGGCCCGGAGGGAATGGTAATCCGTGCGCCTGACACGGGACCGCGTGGAGCCCTATGGTCGATGCGCCGCGAGCCACGCACAGGATCGCGGAGTCGCGGGACTGCGGGCAGCGCTAGCTGGTACGGCAACGACTTCAGAGGAAGCAACTCGTCTTCAAACGCGGCCAGCCAACAGCCGGCAGAACCAGCCTGTCGGGGACTCGATCTGCCTACAACGGCCAGAGGCATACATGCTTGTACACAGGTCCGTATGTGCGCAGCCACAGGTCGAGCCATGCTGGCTGGATTACTCTCATGTCTTTCACGCACACGCGCCCGGGGGGCTTGCTCGCACCCTTCGAGTGCAGCCAGTTGTGTAACAACTTGGCGCCCGCCGGCATGCACGCGCGACAGGAGGCAGCAGTTTCTCCTGCAAGGCTATGGAACCTGGCCTGCGCCACCCGCTCGGCTGCGGTCGCTGGCAGGGGACGGCGCAACTGGGTCGAGTCATTAGTCGACTTCAAGAAGTCGCAGACCACCTACATAATACGGCGCGCCTATGGACTGTGCACAGTCGAGGCGCAGGTTTATGCGTGCGGGAAATTCTCCCCTTTCACATTCTCGAGCGGGAGGATGCAGACGCAGACGTGCAATCATGCAAGGCCCCGGAAGCGTCCTCTTGCCGACACAGTCGATACTCCAACCAGGTTTGGGCAAACCTCCTGACCCTCGAGATTGCCTGCTTGGCAATTGATCCGCAGGCCATCCGTCGTCGCTAAGCACCCGAGAATAGTCGCCCCCAGGCGCTTGCGACCGAAACTGCATCGCGGAGAGCTCGCTCACGCCATGTCGTCCCCGCAGCACAAGGACGTCATCGTCGACGGTCCCTGCCGCGACAGCAGCGTTGCACTGTCACGTCGTCAGGCAAGCCCCGGGGTTCGGGAGAGGTCAGCATAGCGCCGGCACGCTGAGCAGGTTCGAGGAACAATGCGGACCGAGGAACGGACTCGCGCCACTGCGACACGGCCGTCACCATCGACAGGCTTGGGCCTGGGCTTGGAGGAGGGGACCGATCCTTGGTCCCACCCCGCCGACCGCGATCCGGCCCACCAACCCAGTGGCGGACAGGGAGTGTTTCGAGGTGGGGATAATGCTATCGTCGGATGCGAAGCGCTATGAGTCGTCGGCATTGCCCAGCGTCTCCTTGGCGGAAGGAATGGGGGGGCGTCGAAGCGCGAGTGGTACGCCACAAGCGGGAGACTTTCCGGACGGTGTCGCGTCCCGTCTCGGGGTCGGTATCGGCTCCCTCGCGGCGGGAGTTCAGGGTCGAGCCCGTGGCTAGCCCACGAGCATGACAGGTTCGCCAGGCACTGACGTCTGGGGCCAAAGCGGCACTGGAGCGAATGCTGATGCCACTGGCGCCGTCCGTGTGTGTTCACGAGCACGCGGGCGAGACGCACTTCCACGCCCCCTTGCAAAGACGGGGCCCGGAACTCCCCCGACGACATCCATCACTGCTCGCCACCACCAGCAATCATGGCCTCCGGGTACGGTGGCCCCCAAACACGGCCAGCGTCTTGTGACCGAGGTCGTGAGTGCCCCAGGACACCACCAAGGGTCCAAGGGGGTCTGGTTGCAGAGTCCCCCCGCAGCATGCGACTCCGGTGCGGGCCACGGTTCCACGGCCTCGACACCTGCGGCCGATTTCCCTTGCACGAAGCTGTGGTGGCAAGGAGTCAGGAGCTTGGTGCGTCTCGTTGAAAGCAGGATTCTGTGCCGGTGTCGTTCAGAGTCTGCGTGTGCGTGCTCGTCGACCCGCCCCGTCCGTAGTCATCAGACGCCCGTCGTCGGTCGACCCGTTTCCAAGCATGGCACACACTGCCGGCATGTGGTGGTGATGTCTGTGGCCACCCGGATCCGCACCAGACGGGCATCTTTCCTTGCTTCGGCAGAACGATGGGTCGCCGCAGATGTACACGTGATGGCCAACAAGCATCGATCGCGATAATTCGCATGGCTCGCGAGTCGTCCCTCGTGTGCACCAGTGCTAATGTATACAGTGTTCGACGGCAAGTAAGGGTCATGTACAGTCGGGGTCATGCCACCAGCGCTCTGCAGTCTCTGGTCTATGGGGGAACGCAACATCATCATTCCCGCAGGCTGCGGGTAGGACAGACGCCCCTGGGCCCGCAGGCGTTTTGACATCGAGGGCCAAAGCCGCAGCAATCCGCTTCGAACCTCCCGGATCCATACTGCCCCTTGGCCCCCCGTTACTGCTGCCTGACAAATTTCCTCCCAGGGTCTGCTTCGAGCAGTGGAACGCAAGCCCACGAAGCGCGTCGTCGGGACGTGCGAGCAAAGGGCTTTTGCTGACGACAACGGCCAGAACGAGCGTCTCGCATGGACGAGTCCAAGCAAGCACGAGATAGGTCGCCGGCGCTCGGTTGCGGCGCCAGTAGGGCCGTTATTGTTGGAGTTGTCGTGCGTGACTGGGTGCCGTTGCCCTCCATCTCGGTTGGTTGGGATGTGATGGGAGGGGCAGCTGTTCGAGCTGAGTCTTTTGGTGCATCACCGGGCGTCGGGCCTTCCACCCTGATGCAGGGCAATGTTGACGACTGCAATCAAGGGGCTGGTGCCGGACTGGGCACAGCCGCCCACCAGCGACTTGTCCACGACGTGGCTTCGCGGACGATGGGGGCCGCCAGCGGGCAGGGGCGTATATTATGCCGCCGCGACGTTGACGTCTTGTACGACCGTCTGATGCTGTCGACACCCTGCCTACGGTTTAGTCGACCCGTTCTTGGGTGCATGTGTGCGTGCTGCCTGTGGACTGGGCAAGGATCCTGTGACTGACGGATGGGCCTCTGTCGTCTCTTTCTTGTGATACGCGTTGCGTGATGCGCAGCCGGGTCCGCATGAGAGGAAGAGCCTGGGGCCAAGGGTGGTCGTTCGGCTGGCGGCCGTGGCGCCTAGGCGTTCGTGACCCCTTGGGGCCTGGGGCCTGGAGGGGGGGAAGGGGGGGCGTCCGCGTCAAAGGGCAACACTGCCGTCGTATCTACCGTCCCCGGTGGATGCCCGGGGTTGACTGCCTGACTGACTGCCTGACTGATGGCATCAGTCGACCACGGCGGCCGTGCGGCGGCAAGCTCGGGGGACGGGTGGATGGGTGGATGGATGGATGGATGCGAGCGGACGGCCGCGGCCCCTGGATATGGGGGCCGGCCTTTGGCGGCGGCGGTTGAGACGCGCATCAGGTAACTGGATGTGGATACGGATAGACGCACATACAGATTGGCATCGAGCATTCCTTGCAGGACGGCCTGGTATCGTGGCCGGTCGAAAGTATCATGCCATTATGACTTTACTTTACTTTCTTCTTTCTTGGTTCTATCTGTGTTGGGTGTTGGGAGGCCGTTGACGCGCCTCCGCCTACTGTCGGGTATCGGCGCCCCATCCATCAACAACTACTTCGTAAATGCTCGCTAATGCAAATGGGGCGTGCGAGGCAGATGGAGATATCCAGGGTAGCGTAGCAAAACCCCAAAGTGCCATGTCCTGTCTTCCTCTCCTGTCGCGGCCGCTTCTGTCTATCCTCAGCCGTAGTTGGTTATGTTTGCCCGCTACCGGTGTTCTCATTCTCCTCTCTGTCTGCCTGCCTGCCTGCCTGCCTGCTTGCCCGCGCGCAACCGCCCGTCATCACCGCAAAAACCAGTTCTCGTCGTCCGAGTCCGAGTCTCCGCCCTCGACCTGGTCCTCCTCGTCCAGGAGCGCCATCTGGACGAAGCGCCGGACCCATGCCTCCTGGGCGGGGTCGAGACCAGCGGCGATGTTGTTGCCTCCAGGTGGCGGCGGCTGTTGTTGCCCCTGTTGCTGTTGCTGCTGCTGTTGGTGATGATGCTGTTGCTGCGGCTGCTGTTGTTGTTGGTGACGACGATGCTCTGGCGCGGCGACGGCGGCGGCAGCGGCACCGCCCCCACGAGCTACTGCTGCCCGGCCGCCCGCGTTGGCGCCCCGGGCGGGTCGGCCTCCGCCCCTGACAGCACCGCCGCCGGCACGGCCACCGCGCTGGAGTGGCGCGCCTCGGCCGCCGGCGCGGGGGTCTGCGCCCCTGGCGGCTCCGCGATGGGGGCCATGGTGGTGCTGGTGCTGTTGGTGATGTTGGCCGCGGCCGCCTCGGCCCCTGGCGGCTGGAGGCGGAGGCTGCTGGGGCGCAGGCTGGGCGGCGCGTCGGGGTTGATTGTCCACGAGGCGCAGTACGAGAGGCGCCTCCCTGGCGACTGCGACGGCTGGCTGGCCGTTGGGCGCCTGGCCGGCCGGGGGCTCGTTGCCATCCTCGGTCTCGGTATCGCTCTCGTCGGCCGCCCCGAATTGCCAGGGAGCTCCTCCATCGATGTCGGCATCGAAATCGTCCTCGAGATGATGGACCGCCCCGGCGGCGGCTGGTGCTGGTGCGGGCGCCGCGGCGGCGCCTCTCCCGCCGACGAAGCCGATGCCGACGTCGTTGCCGTCGCCGCCCTCGAGCTCCCACAGGCGCATGTAGCACGAGGTGACTTTGCCGTCGCCCTGCTGGTTGTAGTGCTTGTAGGGGTTCCCGGGGTCGAGCCACGAGGAGCACAGGTAGCAGAAGTGCGTATCGCAGCGCGAGCAGATCATATGATTGCAGCCGTGTGTCTTCTGAGCGGGCGCGGCGCACGTCGGGCAGGGGCTCGTGTGTAGCTGGAGGTACTCGAGCGAGGCCTTCTCCTCCTCTGTGAGCTCGTCGGTAGTGCGTTTGGGCACACAGTGGACGAACTCGCCGTGCCAGGTCTGCAGGCAGCGGCTGCAGAAGGCGAAACCGCAGTCCTCGCATACGGAGAGGAGGTCGGCGGCGTTGAACTTGGCGGCGGCCTTGGCCTTGGCTTTCTTCTTCCTGTCGCGATGCTCCTCGGCGGCCTTTTCGTCGGTAGGGTCTTCTCCGCCGTCGTCGCTGTCATCGGCGTCAGAGTCAGGGGCCTCGCTGAACTGCAGGCCCTCGGGCTTCTTGTGCTTCTTGGAGCGCGCGGCGCCATTGCACCACTGGCGCGGGCAGTAGATGGTGTCCTTGTCCGACTCGAGCTCCGTCTTGTACTTGAGCGTGACGTAGCGCTTGACTGCATCCTCGGACAGTCCGATCTGGAGCAACTCGCTGGGACTGATGAAGGTCTTGGGCTTCCGGCGCGAGGCGTCTCCAGCTGTGGCGGCGGCCCGGTCCTTGGCGCAGTTGGGGGTGAGGCAGCGCACGGTGGACAGGTTGCCCTCGGTGATGGCGTCGTTGTAGAAATCCTGGAGGCACTGCAGGCAAAAGATGTGGCCGCAGTCGAGCATCTTGTGACACTTGGATCCTTTTTTGGGGTCTGCCGGGGCGTCAGTATTACATGTGAAACGCAACTTTCTCAAAGGAATATTTCAGACGTACCTAAGCAGATGCCGCATTCAAACGTCTCCTTCTCAAAAGCTGCCCGCTTTGCCTTGATGTCGTAGTCCAGGACGGCGAGCTTATGTTCTGGAGGGACCGCAAGGGTGCCTTCGGCGGTCACGGCTCCGAAGACGTCCTCGGCGGCGCGATGGACATGGTCAATGTAGGAATAGGCAACCATGTCACGGCCGGCCTCTTCCCACAGGCGTGGCCCATCGCCTTCAAGGCTGGCGAGGGTCTCGCGGGAGAGCCATTGCGGCGTGGTGGAGATGGAGACCTGAGGCGGCTTGTCGGCCGGGTAGCCGTCGGGGAGGACGATGCGCAGGGAGACTGGTGGGAGGTGGGAGACTAGAAGAGAGTCGACGGGCTCTGCGGCTGGCCCAGCCGGGGCCGACGAGGTTGAGGAAGATGGCACGGCTGCTGATGATGCCGACGACGCGGCAGGCTGCTTGCCGTCCGGGGCGGCCCCTTCGGCGGCGGGAAACAGAACCGTCACCGGCTCGGCAGGTCGCACAGGAAGCTCGAGTTCAAAGACAAATCCGGGCACATCACTCGGCCGGCGTATCTCGGGAAAGATGGCTTCGAGGGTCTCGAGCTCCATAAAGCGGGCATCGTCGTCATCTGGGGTGGCCATGATCCGTCACTCGGTTGCTCAGCACGCGACGAAAGTGTCTCATTATTCGTCCGGGCCGCGCGCGGGATGATGGGGAGCAAAAAGCGCGCGATGGGGGATATGAGATGGAGGGCGCTGGAAGAGAAAAGACGATGGAAAAACACACAAAGACGCGATGAGTTTAGTAGGCGACGCTGTGGCGAGGTTGACAATTGAGGTCGGGCCCGACGGCGGGGAGAGAGGATGGCGTCGTTGAATTTTAGTGGGGTTGGCTCGCACTTCGGGGATAAAATGGCCGGGTAGTTGACGAGCTTCGGGGTTCGTTCAGTTGCGCGCAGGTGCTTGAGGTCGCCCGCTAGGGATGGAATTTCACCGAGAGGAAATTCCTATTAAAAAAACACATGTGGCCCAAAGGGAGAAAAATTGCACAATAAATTGAAGATGCGTGGTGCTTCGATGGCGGATTTCGGGTTTTGGAACGTGCCAGAACAGAGATGACTGGCCGGCATGACTCTTCTCTTTTTTTTTCTTTGGCCCAATGCTCACGCCGTCCTTCATTTGGCCACAATAGCCGCCCCCACCGCCTCGGACGACAACGATGCATTTGAGCGAGCACTCGCCGCCACGCGACGTCGCCAGAGAAATCCTGCAAGGGCAGTCGAATATGGCCCAATGTCGAAGTTGATCAATCTTTGGCAGTTTTGCACACCAGGCCATGGCTGTTTGCTTGGTGGGCCTCTATGGAGGCATCATGGATCCGTGGCGATGGCGTTTGTTGGAACTGAGTCGATGCCGTGACTGACGGCGGTCAATGGGCATTCGGATTGCACTGACCAGAGCGGATTGGCTTGAGTCGAGTCCTCGGCGTATCTCCAACTCAGAACCGTGACTGCCATTCACACAATGGTGCCGACAAAGAGGCCAACCGGGTTGAAGCCCTCGCGGAGAACAATGTCAACGCCATTGTCGCGGCCAAACGTGACTGGCCCTACAAACACCCACACGTGTCTTCACCCGCTCGAAGGTCAAACAAGCATAGTGATTCACCGCTCTGGAAGGGCCGAGACATGCAGTGAACCGCGCGGGTCCGCGTACATACATCCCCATCCCTCAGCCGATGACGGAAACGGGACGAGGACGAGCAAACGCCCGGTGATTCACTCACACTCATTTCTCGCTATATATATATGCCAGCTCCACGCCACATCCTCAACTTGCCTTTCCTTCTTCCTTTCCTCAGGGCATCAACTTCCCCTCGTACCGGAGCTTCATTCTACACCCGGACCACGTAGTCCGCATTCTCCCTCACAACACATTCTACTTCCGCGTGGTCCCCATCATCACGACGGGGACACCTTCTCCCGCAGGAGACCAGCAACATTGGCGTTAATGCTCCCCACGCGAGCATTGCATCTGCCGACAGCTCCCGTCCGGTACGATCTCGCGAACCTCATCGCGACCAATCGGTCTGTCCCCTTGCTGACTCTGAACAGGACGTAACACGGCACTTGTATGCCAGTCCGGGGCCGTTCATTCTAAGAAGTGCCAGAGGCGGGAGGACATCGCACTGCCCTCTCTACACGGGCGTGCGCAATAACCGCAAAATAACTCAACCGGTGTCACGGACTCAACATCGCCGCCACATGCATGCCGGGAGAGCAATAGCATCTTTGCGGGTCCGACTTTCCCTTGTTCGATCTGGCGAGGCCATACCGGGCCCGAACCCCGGGATCTCGCACGAGCAAGGCCGCCTCCTCGTTCACGACCTCTGCATGAACCTTGTGGCAGAGATAATGCTGGCTGTCCAACCTGATTCACCCGCATCACATCCTGTTGCTGCTCCTGTGGACTGCGATGACGCACGATGCCAGCCTGCGCATCGCAGAGTGGTTGCACGGGTGGCTGGCAGACGCGCACACACCCACACGCACACGCATACTCGGAGGGTCGCAGGACGACTCGAACTTCGAGATGGCGACGTCAGCTGGCCGCGTTACCTTTCCTCCAAGCCTCTTCCTCAGCCGAGAGGCGCTCTTGTTCCTCATTAAGGAACTGCCAGCAAGAGAATCGCCGTCCTCGCCCTCTTCTATTTTCTGGCGCAGTTACGCCGGCAAAGGGGCTGACAACGGCCTTACCCAGAGCAGCAACACATCCGGGGCGCCAATGCCATGGACAACGAAAGGACAGGGCCATGATCGAGTGACGATAAGTCCTTGTCGATCTGGCCCCCTTACGGGAGCGGCCGCCATCCAGGAGGCATCCCTGGTGACAACAACATCTCTTTATACCTCTACGATGATCGTTCGCTGTCCCTGGCATCTATTTTCTTTTCGAGCACACTCTCATCCCCTTCGATGTCCACGCCAGCGCTCTGCTACTCTTCGACAGCCAGGGCCGGGGTGAGGGCGAGGAGGCACCAGGCGAAGGGGAAGAGCCAGCCTGCCTTCTCTATCTCCTACATTATTGCACGACTGCCCTCGGCTGCACCCCAGCATTATCACCACCAACATCCGTGGCCTGGTATACATCAACAATTTGTCGCACCTCACCTCCGCTCCGCTTACCGGCGTTCGCCACGAGTGCGGCAAAACCTCCAAGCCGCTGCTTCCCGACGTCGTCCCTGCCCACATCAATCAGAAGCTGGCGGCGTTCAAGGGCCTCTGCATTCTCTGCTTTGACCAGAAGAAGAAGTATGATGGAAGTGTCGGGGGTTGCGCGGGAGCCCATTAACGGGTCTGACCCAGGTAGGATGTGGAAGACGGAGAGTTTCCAGAGAGTGTCGTGGGGAGGGCCTGCCTACCATCGAAACGGGGTACGACTGCCCAGAGACTGTGCGATACTATGAACATGGCACGCCTAGCTGACGGTCCCGCCTCTGACTTCTAGCCGGGGGCGGCGGTCCCGGACGTGGCAGACACACTGGGAGGCAGGGCTTCGGCGAGATTATGGGCTCTGCAACAACACCCGACAGCATCGTGGTCCGAGAGCCGTACGAAGGCCTCGGCCCGACGGCCTCGACGCTATGCACAGCGGTGCGCGAAGTAGTCCACGGCAACCACACTTCCCAGCCGACGTCGACTCAATACTATGCCCAGGTGGCGTCAATGGCCAGGCACACGGCATCTGTTCTCTGCAACTCTGCTTGAAGGTGCCATCATACACAGAACGCTTCCTGTGCTCGGCAGCAGGACTCTCTACGGAACGCAAGAGAGGCGGGGGCTAAATTAGCAGGCGGGACACGTCCAACTAGGCGCCGTGCCTGGCCTGTCCCCCTGACAAAGTCCTCCTCTGATTGCCTTCTCCCCTCGGCCGCCAGTGGTTTCAAGTTGTAGCAGGGATAGGCGGGGGGTCTGCCCAGCGACACAGACTAGATCCGCCACTCACGTTCTTCACGCGGCGAGGAAGGCGAAGACACTGGAGAGGCCAAGGAGAAGATGAACAAAGCATGGCCATCGGTATACCAACGCCATTCGTCCATGCCTTTTCCCTTTCCTACGTTGACGGCCCTGTCAAGTCGGCTCGGATACTATTCAACTCGCCCTCGCTGCCTGCCCTCGGCGGGTTTTTCTCTCACAGACCAGGACCTCCATATCATGGTGGCTGCTGCGGCCGCACACGCGTCCTTGCTGGTCTAGTCGCGAGGCCACGTGATTGAAGCGAGCCCAGGAGAACTTCCTCTGGGAGCTACACGCACGCGCGACTCCTGCATCGAGAGCTGGAGACGACCCTTGTGTGGCTCCTATCGTCAGCATTGGGGCCTGGAGACGACGGCGACGCCAGTGATCATGGGATTGGCGAGATTGAGCTCCTAGCCAGGACGAAAGCTCGGCAAGTGGCGCCCTCCTAGCCAGCGGTGTCGTTTGCCCAGTGTCAATATTCGGCGCCATGGACATCGGCTTCGCGCGATTGGTGACAATTACGATCACGATGAGCTGATATCCTGAGCCTCGACGAAGGATGATAAGGGGACGCACGCAGGCAGTCGCTAGTAGTACGGCCATGACAAGAACCGCGAGCATTGTGTTGAGCACGGCGGAAGTCCTGAACAATGTGTGGCTGCTCATCGTCCCCGAACACACGACAAGGAGGTCGATTAAAGTCCTCTTCTTCCTTCGCAGTCCGATGCCGACTTATGGGCGGCCTGGATGCTGGTTCCACATCCGATGGCACGGATCCGGCTACCGAGAGAGCCGCTCAAAGAGGCGCTCAATGAGTTTCAGAAAATGGGCGTTGCCAGTTGGAGCCTTCGGCTAAGCGAATGGCAGACCGAAAGTGAGGAAGAAACGAATATGAAAGGCGAGGGGCATACGGAGACACCTAGACACGGCAGACTTGCAGCCTGAAAACCTCGTGATGCTGGAGCACGCCAATTTGGCAGACACATCGGTTTGAGCTTCTGGGCGAGACTGCCAGCGTCGACAACGACTTCCCGCAAAAGTAAGACAGACTCGAGAAGGGAAACATGCATTGTAAGGCGCTACCGCCCTGTCAAGCCTTGTCACACGGCCGCCGAGCGGAATTACCGTCCGGCCATCCACAAACACATGCTAGCCACCTCTTCCGGCATCTTCGACAGCCCCGAGGCAAGGACTCATCAATCTCCTGCCTGGGGAGGATCAGCGACTGCAGCGAAAAGTATGGCGCGATGTTCATCGTGGCCGCGCTGGCATGGTTGCTGGACATGTCCATGAGGCCCCGCGGCGTGCCACCCTTCGAAGGACCAAACGGCCGTCCGGCGAACCGCCTGCCTAGCAGTGTCGACACCGCAGACATCGATAACTGGGTCCTTGAGGGCTGGCCCGAAGCTCACCTACTCGGCTCGCTTGACCATCCAAGCTTGGAAGCCATGATAGGCTCTGGAAGCGGCCCAGGAGAGCGGTCCAGGAAGCTCTCAAGACGCCCTCGAGGTCTGGGGCCTGTATTGACATCTTTCGGCACTTTGTTAAGATTGCAAGACGATCTGTCAACGCTGGACGACGTTGGTACCCCTTTCGCCGTGGTGGTGGCTTTGAAGGTGTTGCTCTGAGCTGGCAATCAGAGCAGCGAGATCCTTGATCAACTTGAAGACGATCTGGTATGATATAAAGAGTGAGGTAAGCGATGTGAGGAGCGGTTGTTATCTGCCTGGGCTTTTACAGCCGGCGGGTGACTGCAATGGCGACAACTAGCCTCCCTTGATGCCCTCGTCGGCCTATCGAAATGCCACCCGGAGTCCTGGAGACTTAGGGGCGCGGGAGTGGTCAATGTACACGCCCACGCTACTCGACGCACTGCATGAGAGTAGGCCGACACTGCGATAGTTTGTCGGCCTGCACCTACGTCGGACCGACCGTCGCGGAAGGCGTTTGAGAACACCGCGCAGCCAGCTACCCAGGATGCCAACCTACGCATCCTGGAGTGGCTGCACCAGGGCCACGCGAGATTGCTAGTACGCACTTTGACGTGAGACTGCTGAGCTGGCTGGCCCAGTGAGAGAGGTGCACATCTCAAAGGCCGCGACCCTCGGGCGTTCTGAGGAGGGGAGCAGCACTCCGGACGGGGCAGACGACGCATTCCGGCGCCATCGCCAGCCGAGTTTCCCGCGCGGAACACACCTTAGTCCATCCAACAGGCCCGCAAGATCCCTTCTCAGCTATGCTCGGTGCCTGTCAGCGAGCGAAAGAGTCTAGGCCAGAGACAAGAAACACATCGCAACGGCGACGGCGGCGACACATGTCCACAAAGGCAACTGGCCCTGGCGGCGAAGGTGAACATCGCACCACATTGGGAGCAAGCACGCTGCTCTCCATCGACGACGAGCTACCAGGTATCCAGATACTGGCCCGCTGCCAGGCCTGCCGCCCACTGACGGCCCGGCCGGGGTATATGACATCGGGTCGTCCCGGCCGCCCGCCCCCCAACAGCACGTCTCGACACACGATCTCACGTCGTGGAATTACCCGGGGCCGATATCCCCAGCCAAGAAGATGCAGTGCATCTGCAAGAGGGCGAGGGGTTGAACACGCCCCCCCCGCCCCTGCCTCTCCGTTCATACGAGAGAGTATATATGACGGTCCCGGCATCGATCAACCATCCAACCAAAGGGCAAGTCGCCGCAGTGCTCACTCATTGCTCAATAGCTTTGTCAACACGGGTATCAACCTCCTTACTAGTGATGACAGGCCTCATTGACTCCTCTTCCACACGGCCCATGTCCTGGGGCACATTTGAGCTATGAGTGAACGCTGCAGCGATTTGCCCTTTGGTTCTGGTACTGCCCCGCGCGTCCCCATCGCAGAGTGATGCATGATGCGGGCTGGGGTTTGAGACGTGCGCGAACTTGTGTCCCGGATCCGAACTCATGTGGTATCCCACCCGGCCTGCCGCCCGCCGCTGCCGACGCAACCCCGATATCACGTACAATAGCTCTGTCAACAAGAGCATCAACCTCCTATACCAGCGGCAATAGATCTCATTCAGTTCGGAACTGCGGAACCCGGTGTACGGCCTCGCTATAAGCCCTGTTACAGTATAGCGGGGCCGTGTCACGGAGTGCAAGAGTGGGCGGGAAGTCATCAGAAACGGCCTCACAGGCAGCGTTGCATCGCAGGATACAGATACCGCGACCTACACCATGACCAGCATCACCAGCTGCCTCATGCACAGTCCCAAACCCAGAGCAGCAAGAAGGGGGGCGTACACCATTGCGCCCACATGTCCGGGAGGACCGCTCCCCTGGGGCCAACAAATGCGCCGGCTGGCTGTACATCCATGAGCCAATACTCTAGGCGGCCGATGCACCCAAACCATTCACACCATCACAAATGGGACGAAAGTCCTCAGTCCTCCCCTGTGGGCCCTCTGAGCCCGACTTCGTAGTCTGTGGTCTAGCTTTCCTTCACCCATCGCATCGGTTTTGGAGCCTCGTTCTCACACCTACAATATCGTCCTCCCTGGTAGGGGGGCTTTGACGGTCTCGAATTTGGGAGTGTATGTGACTGCTTATTGGAGTAACGGCACAGTCAAACTCCATACGGCGACATTGAGTCGCTCCAGGGTGGACCGACTTGCGCCAAGATATCTCCTGTCAATGAGTGAGGAAGGCCGATCATCAAACATATGGGAAAACATGTCATTAGAACTTTTGAAGAACGTCAAAAGATTCTTTCCTCATGAACCATCTCGCATAGTGTGAAATGAATATGGCAATTGCCTCTTGCCTGAGAGGCACGCCAGGCAAAGTCGATCTTGCAAGCAGACAGAACGCAACATAACTGCCCAACGCAGCCTCTGCGATCCCCTAAGTATTCCTCCGTCGATCATCCATTGTCGTGTATCTTTGAACAATGCAAGCCGAAAGTAAGCGAGGCCAACGCGGGCACCGCTGCGTGGTTATCTAGTATGTAGTGGTGATTGCAAAGCGAGCAGTGGGTACTCCTGAGCTCAGAAGGCTCGAGGATGCGATCGGCAGAGATGTAGAATATGTTTCATATTCCTAGCTGCGAGAACGGGCAATGTGGCCCAATCATGGTGGCCATGGCAGCTGGCGGCGGTCCGGCCACGCTCTAGTCGGGCTGGCACGTCTGTTGGACTAAATTAGTAAAGGCGTTAGGGCCGGCGGGAGTCGCTTTCGGCGAAGGAGATGCGAAGCTTTTGGAGATCTGATTGCTACGTATTTAGGGGCTGCAAGAGGTGTAGTCAGCTGAAGGTATTGTAGTAATAGAAAGTGGCCTGGTTGAGGCCTGAGAAGCTGAGGCACCACTGCTCCTCCCGCGTCCTCCGCCTGCATGGCCGGCCACCATCCCCAACTCACCCCCTGTTCTGCATCCCTCCAGCCGCAGCTTGGACCAGACCCCAGGCCACCATCAATGCAGCAGCGTGCTCAGCGCCCTCTCGCCATGGCCTTGTCTTCGGGATCTGCATCCGCCCGACAGAGCGTGGGCGGGGTTTCCAGCCTCGACATCGCGGCCAGACGATGCAGGCGGAATCCTCAATTCACCTCGGTTCGCAGCCCGGAATGCCATGGCCGAAACTCTCGGGGCCGTCGTCGGCGTCGTCGCCTTTGGCCTGAACCTCGCGACCACGCTGCAGACATACACGGAGCTGACGCGCGAGGCAAACGACGCCCTGCACGATGTCGTGTTCGAGGTCAACGCCACTGCCTCCGCGCTCAGGCAGCTGCAGGCCATCGTGGACGCAGATAAAGCCGTTTCACACCTAGACGACAGTCCCGCAAGAGTCCTCAATGACAGTGGCGTGCGCGAGATTGAGAACCTGGCCGCAAAGTGCGAGACGGTCTACAAGACCATCGTCAAGCTCGTTCAAAAGGCAAGCGGCTCCGAGTCTGACCCTCCGAATGCCACCGCTGCCTCGCAGCACGCACTGGACCCGGCCTCTTTGAAGCCGATGACCGTGCTCCAGCGGCTTAGGTGGCCATGGCTCACCCCGCGCATAGAGAGGTGCCAGCAGCAGCTGCGGTGGCTCAAGATCAGCCTCTTGGTCACGCTGCAGGTCGCAAACCTGGCTCTGCAGCAGATGAGGTGAATTCAGTTATAGGAGTCTCTAGGTTTTACGAGCTCGCTGACAACTGATCAAAGGCGTGACAACGATCCAATCTCAACGCAGGCTAACTCCTTGACTGATGTGGTCCAGACGCTTCAGGAACGCCAAGTTGAGTTGGCGAAGAAGTTGGCCGGCTTCTCGCAGACTTCTCTGGAGGATGCTGCGAATTTGCGGGCATGGAAAGCTGCATACGGAACAGAGACTGGTTTCAGCGAAGCATCGTCTATCCCAGGGAGGAAATCTCATCTGACAGCCGTGGGACATGTCACCGGCAAACCCAAGGATATCAACGGTGTCGAGCAGGCTGTCAAAACTGAGGCCAATCCCAAACCTGGGACCATCTCAGGGGTCGGAACAGCCCCCGTCCAGGCTACTGACGACCGCGATGCCCCCGTCGACGAATTGAAGAAGCCAGCCTCAACGCGTGACATGGGCATTGGCACCGGGAGTAAGACACTGGAGCCGATAAGAAATCCCTCGGTCTCAGAACAGGTCGGTGTTCTTTCATCATATGCTCACGCTTTTCATGCGCCCGGGGTTGCCCTCACGAATGCAGTCGAACCAGAGAAAAGGGGCCTGCCGGAAGCTGGGGCTGCGGTCGCGACGAATCCGGAACCTCCCAGTGCAACCATGGCAACTACTTCTCAAGTCGCACATGAACCTGCGAGCCTGGGGATCCAGCGCATGGCCCCTGAGCCTCTTCCGAAGGCCGCTCACGTCAAGATGCACTCGAAAGCTTCGGAGCCTAGCAAGAAGAGACGCACGATCCCGCTCTTCTCTCGCTTTCGGAAAGTCCCCGATCTCCAGTCGCAGCTCTTTGGCGAGGACGACAAGTTCTCTCACGACCCGCCGAGCCGCACGTTGGAAGCCTTTGTCGCGGAGCTGGGCATGATCAGGAAGGTCCCGTTTGGGCATGACAGGCTCGTGTATGGTCTCAATCAGGTGCACAAACATAGGTTAATAGCCACGTGGGCCAAGTACCTCAACTCGAGCGCGGAAAAGCAAGCCCTCATTGGCAAAATCACAGACATGGCGAAGCGAACGAGCCACCGAGCCATGTCGCTTCTCACTTTCCACGAGATTGAGAGGCCGGACGGCTCGGATGCCATCTTGGCCTTTTTTGCCCTGAACCAATTGCAAGAGCCGGTGACGTTCATTGACGCCGAGGTCGCCAGAGGGATCGTTTCTGTCAGGGAGCTCCTCAGCCGGCTGACGAACGCGCCGAGTGCAACCACCTAAGAAACCTTTCTCGTCAATGACTACCGTGAAACAATTTGACTCGTTTTTGCTTGAACTTGACCGAGCCATCTTGACTCGTGAGCCGGAGCCTGCCGTTCGCGGGGCTCCAATTTCCATGCCGCCCGCGTGTCAAGGCGTTTTCCACCAAACCCTGTGAAAATTGCCGAAACATGTTTCCGCCGAGATATTAATTCTGAATCCATGAACATGTTTGGGACCCGAAACGAGGTGTTGGGTATTTCATCTCTGTGAGACCTTGTGTGTGGATGAGGCCGTGTAAGTCAACGAGGTGAATGAATAGGTGGTTGCCCCAAAACGGCAGGCGGTGGGCCTTCCCGCCGCCACCTACCAATCTGCCGCCTCTCACCCCTGGCCGCACTCTGGCACATGTGACGAGTTGCAACAGGACAGTTGCATCACCAGTTTCGAGAGTCACGGTTCAGCAGGACTCGCACGCTCGCACGCACGCGCAGAGGGCACGAATTCCGCGACAGTGCCGCCTGCGTCTTGCCTTTCTGCGGTCCTTTTTTCTCGGCGACAGCGTTCCGCAGACGAGACCAGGCCAGACCAGGGACGCGGCAGCTGGAGGGCGCTCTGTGTCCCTGAAGCGACCCGTGGACGTCACCACCAGGGCCGGCATCACCACCACCGCGTATCACCACCACCAAGCAATATCGGGGGACACATCCCACCGCACCGCCAGCCATGGCCGACTCCGCGCCGCTCGCCTCGCTCTCCCTCACGCACGTCTACTACGTACGCGCACCCACCCACCCATCCATCCATCCCCCCTCCCCACCACCGTTGCCATGCCCGGAAAGCACATCCGCAAGACGTCGTCTAACACGTTCTCGTTGTCCTCCCCCCCTTTTAGGACCCCGACGACCTCCTCTCCCTCGTCTGCGCCTACCTCGCGCTCGTCCCGCAGTCCCTCTGCATCGTCTACGCCACCCTCGTGCTCGCCACGCGCGAGGCCGAGATCGCCCTCGCCCTCGCAGGGCAGCTCGCCTGCGAGGCCCTCAACTTTGCCCTCAAGCGCCTCATCAAGGAGGAGCGCCCGCGCCGCATCCACGGCAAGGGTTACGGCATGCCCTCGTCGCACGCGCAGTTTGTCGCCTTTTGGAGCGTCTCGCTCGCGCTGTTCCTGCTCCTGCGGCATCGGCCTAGTGGCGTGGCGGCGACTACTCGCGCTCGTACGAATGGCTCTGCGGCAAAGGGAGCGATGCGCAGACTGGGCGCGAGCGTGAGCGTCGACGGCCTGCACCGCCCCTGGTCCCTCCCCGAGCGCCTCGCCGTCAGCCTCGCCGCCGCGGGCGTCGCCGCCGCCGTCGCCTGCAGCCGCGTCTACCTCGACTACCACACCCCGCGGCAGGTCCTCGCGGGGGCCGCCGCGGGCGTCGCCTCCGCGCTGGGCTGGTTCGCCGCCACGGCCGTCCTGCGCCGCTCCGGCTGGCTCGCCTGGGCGCTCGACACGCCCCTCGCCCGCGCCCTGCGCGTCCGCGACCTCGCCGTCGAGGAGGACATGTGCCAGGCCGGCTGGGAGAAGTGGGAGGCCAAGCGCGCCGCCGCCGCCGCTGGTGCTGCTGCTGCTGATGGCGATGACGCTGCTCTTGCCAAGGTCGACGGCAAGACCAAGACGGGGTGAGGCAGCACGGCGGGCATTTCTGATTTAGAACCATTATTACGACGTATGATGAGGGGTCCTACTTGTAGCGTAGCATGGTGGTGGGCGATATACTCATATACACACACATACACACACATTCACATACGCAAACACAGGCTGGACCGGCCGACCACTGAAGTCTTGAGAAATAGTTCATGCGTGCTGGTACTGGTAGCCTCCCACCGGCCCACAAGACCGTAAATTCCTACGAAACGACATACAGCTATGGGAGCACAAACACATATACATACACACACTCAGGCACGCAGTCCAAGAACCAAGTCGTTCGATCATTCGCGCCCGTCCGCGCACAATTCATTGTTGAAATGGATGCAAGTCCATCTATAGTAGAAGAAGAAAATGTAGTCATACACGCACACACGCAGCTGCGCACGCCCGCTCGCCCGCCACCAATCAAGGGGGCTTACAAACATGAGAATCGTCAAAGAAAAGGCCGTGTGTAAGGCGCGCGGCGGCGAGGGGAAAGGGGAGGACTTTCGCAAAGAATCCAGCCCGCCTTCTCATGACTCCAATGTCAACAAGCTCGAAGAAAAGAAAATACTAGCGCGGCGTGACAGTCGCGAGGGCCGACAAGGCCCGAGTTTCTCAAGCATCCTTCCACAACGTCTTCAAGCCAGACCGATGCCAGCTGGTCTGTGGCTCTGTATGGTCCAAAACGCCGCAAGCAACAATCACCAACAAAATGGCAGAGGCGGGACCTTCCTCTCGGCCCTTTGGACGCCTCCGGCGGGACTGCTGGACCCTCGTTTCATGCAAAACAGAGACGGCCGTGCGGCGAAACGACGGCGGAAACAACCCGTGTTTAATGCCCGCTCAAATCCATTCCACCGACTTGACTCTCGTGCCGTCCACCGGGCTCCATTCCGGGACGGGCGGCGCGGGCGGCGGACGAGCGGGCGCACCCCGGGCAATTGCCTTCCCCTTGCCCTTGGCCACACCTCTTGGCGATCCCCTTGGTGAGCTTTTGGGCGAGCTGTTGGGCGAGCTTCTTGGTGAAGACTCGCCGGGAGTGTAAACAGACGGGCTTAGTGTAATCTCAGCCTCTTCCTTCGTCGGTGCGTCATTTATTGCGGCCCTTGTTGCGCTACTCTTCGCGTCCTTCTTTGCGATGCTCAGAGGCACGGGAGGTAATAACTTCTCCGGTCCCTCCTCACGCGTCGACTCAGCCCCGTCTACGGGGCCGGCAAGTGTGCTCATGTCTGTCTGAAGCCGAGGCAGGGCTGGCACCGGTGCAGGATCCGCGCCAACGTCTGTGGAGATGGCGAGCCCGAAGTTGCCATTGTATGCCGAGTCTCCTCGGTACGGCGAATGGTAGTAGGATGTGACGGGGGGAATGTCGTTGATGTTTGATACGCGCAGACCGATCTGCACCATTGCCGAGGAGCCGGCCGAAAGGTCTCGCAAGTGGCGTGAGGTACGAACACCGGGAGGCGGCAGCAGCACGTCGTCGGTGGAGGGGCCTCCCAGGCCGGTCATGGCCACAGGAGCCGTAGTTACCGGGCTCGCGGGGGCAGCGGGCGGCGTAGCCGGATCGTACGCCGCGGCCGGGAGGATATATGTAGACTTTAGGTCGGGGCCATCTTGTCTGCTGGAAGGGAATAAGGTGTATGTGTCTCTGGCCGCACTCGGCCGCCGCGGTCGAGCAACTGCCGGTTCTGGTTCTTTCACGGAAAAGGATGCAGGGGCCGCTGTGTCGGGGCCGCTGCCCACCCCCTCAGTATTGGCAGCCGTCGGCCGCGTCGGCGTCGAAGGGCGGCTCTCGGTCCTCTTTTCTTCCACATTCGCCTCGTCCACGCGGTCTCCCATCAGCGGCTTGCCGACCTTGCCCAGCCGGACTGGCGATACTGGAAGCTCTATTTGCTTGGTGTACGTGGCGCCGCCAGGGGTTGAGGGTCGTTTGGCTCCTGTCAGCGGCCTTTGTCGATCGAATTCGAAGTAGCCCTTGGGGCCAAATCTACCCAGCCTCGTCGATCGGAGGGCAATGTAAAGCCCGCCCGACGTCAAGCCAGAAAGATTGGCGGCGACAGTGGCCGCCATCCCCAGCTGCGCTCGATACCTCTGGACGTTGCTCGAGGTGTCAACGTGAAGGCTCCAGAAGAAAGGCGCCATTATGGCCTGTCCATGGTCAGCTTGTACATCCCACGCAGGCTCGGAGGACTTACCAAGGTGGCCGTAGCCAACAGCATGTAGCAGGCCATCCACGATGCCGCTATCCGCTGGGTCTCGTTGATGCCCGCGGTCCGATACAATCTGACAAGCGTTATCACGCTGCCTATGAGCAGTATCGACGCGATTGTCGTCGTCAGAACGAAGCAGCCCAACGCCCATCGTCTGACAAACCAAAAAAGGCTCGCGAAGCAAAAGTCGGGCGGCAATACGAATCGCGTAAGAACGTAGGTTCCAATGAGCCCAACAACAACGATTGCCAGACACGCCGGGACGGTGTACTTCAATCTTTGGGGAAATGGGTAGCGCCGGAAAGCCCGCTGGATGGTCTCGACTCCAAATACGAGCTGTATGTAGGGAACGATGAATATCGCTAAACGCAAACTCGGTAAGCAGCCATGCATTTGAGCGGGATTAGGAAGCCTGCGCACCTGGGAGCAGCGTTTGAGAAATTGGCCGGCAGCCAAGGATCAAAAGCCCCTGAAGTCCGTTGGACTGGGAAACGGCGAAGATGATGCCCTGCACGACGATGCCGCATGCCAGCACAAATGGAAACGTCTCGGCCGGACCTATGATGCCGAGAAGCGATGGCCTGCATTCCGTCGTCAAAAGTCTATCCCCTCACGCTAGTAACCCGAAGGAAAGCTCACCTCAGCTTGAACCGCGGGTCGGCCCTCTTCGCTGCGCTGTAGCAGTCCCAAAATATCCCAAACGCCAGGGCCGCGCCGACGAGGGCGTTGAAGCTCGCGAGAATGATAAAGGACGTCCGAACCGACTTGGACGCGGCAAATCGGAGCTCGTTGATGACCGACGATGTCGTGTTGCCGCTAAACTCCCAACCGCCCGTCGCATTCCCCCGGGCTGGCCCAAGGCCGGCCTCTCGTATCAGCACGCCGTGAAGCGCGCGGACAAGCATTCGATCCCAGCCGTCTCCAGCCATCACCTCACTTGATCCGTGGCTGCTCCCGTCAGTGGTTTGTCGTAGCTGGTCCTCCGGGAGGTGTCGGCCGCAGTCTATGCAGGCATCAAGCCCCACGGCCAAGCCAGGTGGTTATATTCCGGCGTGGACCATCTATGCGATGCGACGTCAACGCCGGGTAGGGTTCACTCGGCGGTTCGATAGTATATGAAGGCGTTCCAGGGGAGGTAAACGGTTCTGAGGCTTGCAACGGATAGATTTCGTCTAGATGAAGGCGCAAAGTAAAAGAGAGCAGGGTTGCCACTTTCTGGGGAAGTTCAAGGTGGCGGGGGGGAGTAGGCATTGACTCAATGTCATGATCCCCGCCTCCATCAGCAGCTCCGGACGAAACAGGGTCTCTGCGCTCGGCCTTGATACCGCAACGGTGGCGACAGAGAGAGCCAGGAAGGCGCACTTGGACAAGAGCGAGACCAAGGAATTCAGAAACAACGCCGTCCAGGGGGCGATGATGGCAGGCGAGCTGGCAGCGAGCTTTGCTCGGTGCGGGCAAGCGGCGAGCGCCCACGGGGGCAGCGGTGATTGGCACGCAAGGACGGCGGCGCATAAGATTCAGAGGCAAAGGGCAACCTTGGCGATATGGAGAACGGGCGCGGGAGACGGAGCAGCCGGGCCATGGCCAAACGAGTCGAGCATCTGGGAGAGCCCGTGGCAAGGGTGTGGAGCGTCAGCGTCGTGCTCTGCCTCCTCCTTGCCCATCCGTGTGTCCCGGGAGAAACGAGCCAGCAAGGTTTCTCCGTCGACCTGAAGAGGCGTCTGACCGGCGATGGTGAGGTTTCCGCCAGGGGAGGCCGACGTGCAGGTGCGCGCCTCAGGGCAGCCTAGGGAGGGAGACTCGGGCGTTTCCACCGCAGCGCTACCACTGGGTAACCGCCTGAGGAGGACAAGCCGTTGTTAGCTACGTCCTATGTACGTCGATAAGAGAGCACACGAGCAGGTTTACTTCGTCGGCTGCCACGAGCCCTCGAATTGCCGTCGTTGGCACGCGGGCATCGACCATCGCGACCGTCTTTCGTGGCCCGTGGACGCTGCCCGCTGTCGCGGCGACACCGATGAGGCCTCGCGGACTCAGCATCGCCTCCAGGAAACCCAAAGCGGCTGGCACGGGCCCTGAAGCGTGGCGTCGCGAGTTGAAGCAGTCATGCAACACGTTCGGGTTTCGAAATGCAGGAGGTGCAAGTCGAGAGACGGGCCGCGCTAGCCCAAAGGGGGCGGCGCAACGCTATCGTGGGCGACTGGCGCCATCTTGAAACCGCAGTTTCCAGCGAACGTCTTGGGTTACCGTCGACGGTCGGCAGCGGCAAAAGCCGAAACGTCGTCGTCGAAATCTGGCAGAAGATGTCATCATCTCGCAGCCGCCTCAGCTTGCGCTTCTGTTTCGCACGGGCTGAAATGGTTGACTGTCCAGCCGCACCGCGTTTCTGGTCCAGTTGCGCTTTGATTGCGCGGAGTTAACGTCGAGGCTACTCTGCCGTGTTAGTTGCTCTTCGACGGAGATGTGCATGGACGTTCGCCGGCACGTTTCCGCTTTCGTCTACCTGCTACCCGCCTGTCACGACCTTTGTCGGTCGCATCGTTTCTTTGTATAGCGTTCTGAGCTGTACAGTGGTCGTAGTCGCACTCTGTGGCCGTTTTGGCATCACGACCGCGCAGTGGCAAACATGCTCTTCCACTCGATTCAGATCTTGGTACGGGTCGCATCGTCTGTCAGTGCCGCTGCCACACGGACCTCTCGTGTCATGCACTGGCACGGCTCGATGCCCCTCAGACTCGGAGCATCGCCACCGGAATGGCAGGTATCACAAAGGGACGAATGCTGCATGCCACTGGGCAACACTGCAAGCGACAACACCAGTCGCAACCGACCCTCAGCCAGGGCGTTTCCCACTACGCCCAAGGCGACGCAACTCGGCCGATATTACGGGCTGTGGTCGGATGAACCTCATTCTAGTCGCGAGGCCCGCCGGGGCTTCCAGTGCAGGCCGGTCTAGGCCCCGTGTCAGTGTGTCACCATCCTTGGCCGGTCCACCGGGCCCGTCCCGGCTGTGTGGGTCTCTTCATGCGGTACCGAAACGGTCTCGGGGGGGGCGCAGGTTCAGGATGGTTCAGGATGCTGTACTAGCACAACCGTCGGCGTTGACCCGTGATCTGTCACAATATCGTGGGGAGCTTTCCGTGCAACGAGGCTACCGGCTCGCCTTCCGGACCAGACATGAGCCAAGGCAGTGTCCACGGAACCGCCACGGCAAAGGGAAATAAGTAACAACGCCTGCCGTGCATCCGAGTTGTCGTCATCCAAGGGTCGCCCGGGTTCCCGTCAGCCGCGGACCAGTGAGAGCTTGCAAGCGAGGCCCCGAGGTCGCAGTGGCGGCGAGGACGCATTGCATCCCCCAGCCCATCAGCCCCTTGACGGAATTACGTGCTGCCTCTCCTGTCCGCCCACAGGTCGCAGCCGAGGGTCACTATGGGCCACGGCTCCCGGCAAGCGCAACGGCTGCCACGAGCGATGCCGCGCAGATGGCGAGAGCTGATGGTCAACGGGGGCCGACGGCCCACGTGGCGGTCTTCAACGGTTGCTGGGTCTGTCGTTGGGCGAGACGCGGCTTGGGCGGTTGAGGGACAACGGGAGCTAATTTCCAAATCCAGTCCATAGCTCGGCCAGCGGAGGGAGCTCAAGAAACCTCGGGGCAAGGCATCGATCGCCAAGGACACATCTCTCAACTCTGCGTAGTCATCGTCAGCTCACGGCCAAACCCCCCAACACAGTCATCATCTCGCACCATCCCGAGGAGAGATGACAACGAGCCGATGAGAGGAGACCATCATCCAGCTGATGCCACGAGCCGCATCGACGTCATCCGTCCGCCGGGAACACGCGCGGAGCGGGCGTGTCCAACGTTCGACCGCGAACCCGCGTTGCCCCCCTCAGTGTAGTGTCCGCCCGACGCGCAAGCCCCGCTACGTCACGATTGCAACGCGTCGGAGCGATGCGGGCGGGCAAAAGACGCAGCAGCAAAGAAAGGCGCAGGTAACCTCGGGAAAGTCGTGCTTTGCCCGTCTGCCATTCATCATGATTGATTTGATCGTGGGGGTGATGGCAGAACCGCATGTTGCCGGAGGCAAAGGTCCGCCCTTGCGTGCCGACGATCTCGATGGTGGAAGCACGGCGATGAGCCTGCGGCGTCGCTACTGGCTGGGCTGGGCTGGAGAGCGGGCACGGGTGACAGGCAAGGCGGCAAAGGCAAGGCAAGGCACCTGCGCGGGCGGCGACTTCCTTCCTCCTGCTTGTTCCCCCCACTGCGCGAACCGGTGCGTCATCATTACTTGCCCGCAAATCCAGCAGTGTCCCTCCAGTAACCTGTGGCAGCGCCCGAAGTGCCCCGCGCGTGCCCCGCGCCTGTGGCTGCAGCGCTGCCTGTGGCTGTGGCGACGATTTTCCCCTTTGGGCCTGGCGGACCAATGGCCATCGGCTTTTCGCCCGCCATCTGCGAATCGCTGGCTCCAACCTTTGGGGCCTCGAACGCCCGCGCGAGATTGGGGGGCCAAGGAAGCGTCCGCGGGCACAGCGTGACATCTTCTCCTGCGTGGGCAAGGAAAGGGCCCGGCGCTCGTTGGGACTACCTATTGCGTGTCCGTCGGCCCTATCAATCCTCGTGTTGGGAAGCCTCGTGGAGATGTGTCCCTGACGTCAGAAGGTGTTAACTCGTTATCGATAGGCGCCCTGTTGGTGGAACCGGCAGACGGTACAAGTGCCATGGCGGGCGTTCGCTGCGATCGCACAGGTACCCCTGGGATATCCACCTCCATCCGCCGCCATCCGCCTCGATGCTGCTCTGCCCCCCCATGCCACCCAAGCCCGCCTCCCGCCATCTCGGAAGACCCAGACATCCAGAGAGCCGCGTGAGCTTGTTTCTCGCCCCTGCCGACGAAGCAGTAGTAGCGTAGTTGGGACTTCTCCGGGCTGCTCCACTACTATCGGCTGGCGAGTCACCCTGCCCGCCCCCCGCCCGCGACGGAGCGATGGCCCCGGTACGCGACGCCTGCTAGTAGTGGTAACTTAGTTGTCCAAGCTCCTCCGCAGAATGGGCAACTCGCGTCACCTCCAGGTCATGCCGTTCGATGACGACATGGCTTCTCGATCCAAGCAAGTTCACATGCCGTTTCGACTGGCAAACGCCGTGACGAAGCCCGCCCTTGGTGCCTGAGCCAGCGCTATATAAGACTCGAGCGCCATCTCCGTCACCTTCTCTTCTCCTCTCCTCCATCCCACATCAACTCATCCAACAACTTTACTTCACAACCAATCCAAACAACCCCCCAAACAACCATCATAATGGACTCCATCAAGCAGGGCGCCAACTACGTCTCCGAGACGGTCCAGAAGGCCACTCAGGGCACCTCCAAGGAGGCCAACAAGGAGGTCGCCAAGGACTCCAACGCCCCCATCGGCACTCGGTTCGTTCACCTCATGCCCTTCTAGATGAAATACTTTGTACTAACATGCACCAGTGCCTCTGCCGCCAAGGACGCCCTCGGCGACAAGGCCAGCGAGTCCAAGCACGACGCCAAGGCTGAGGCCCACAAGCAGCAGATCTAAGCAGCTCATGTCGACTCAATACGACAGAATGAGGTGACGGACATATCGTGTTGGACGGGAGGAAGAAAGAGCAGTTGTAATGATTGCACCAAATACCCCTAAATAGCTCCCAATCCATTGGTATCGACAACTTGCACTCTACCTGTGCTCCGCTACTGTTCTTCCGAGAATGTGTCCGGCTCTTGCATTTGTGACAGCTTATCATGTCACATGTTATGTCTGTAAAATTTATGCCCGCCCGGTTTGGCAAACCCGACGCTGGCTCTAAATGTTCTTCTTGGCCGCCCGCACGGCAAACGCGTTCGAGATGTCGCGGAAGCCATACCACGCGGCGTAGAGCGGGATAAACACCCACAGCATGTTGAAGAAGACGAGGTACACCCACATGTACATGAAGTTGCTGCCGTCGAGGTTGATGTTGCCGGTGAGCCACTCGGGGCAAAACGTCATGAAGCCGCCGTACAGCTCACAGGTGGCCAGCACAATCATCCAGACGCTCGCCTTGGGGTCGCGGCGCGCAATGAGGTAGCACACGTACACGGCGAGCGGCCCATCGAAGAAGACGGTCAGCAACTCGAGACTGATGACGCCCTACAAATGCAAACACCACAGTCAGCCACGCAAAAAGATCCTTGAGCCATGCGATCTGCCGCCAACGGCCGATCAAACACGGAGAGGGAAGGGGTTCATCCAACGCACAAGGTCTGCGCCGGCCCAGCGGCGGTCGGCTCGCGCATACACCATCCACAGCTGCGCAAAGGGGTTGGCCCCGCCGGCCTGGGGCCCGTAGATGCGGCGGTCCTCATGGCCGAGGAAGTTGTACGGCGTGGGGACGAGCGACGCGAGGTCGGGGATGGGGGAGGACGAGGAGGCGCCGGTCTCGAGGTAGGAGAAGAAGCAGTGGTAGAGGAAGCTGCCCTCGAGGATGAAGTGGCACAGCGCGTCGGCGAGGTGCCAGATGAAGAGGAAGCGCAGGGTGCCCGAGGTGGCGGGCGCGAGGACGGCGCGCGACGTCGCGTAGGCGGCGACGACGATGGCGACGGTGGAGAGGAGGGAGATGATGGTGGTGGTGTCGAACAGGTCGGGCGGGAGGGAGGACGTGTCGAAGGCCATGGCGGCGGTTGGTGGCGGCTATGGCCTGGCCGTCGTCGTGCGTAGGGTGTCGAGGTTGAAGCTCTCGAGAGTCGTCCTCAATTGCCCATTCCAGATGGACGGAGCGGAGGTAGGGGTGAGACTGGAATCCAGGAGCTCAATGGCTGTTGGCGACACCTCTGCGGCCAGGCGGCAGGGGTCGGTACCTGTCCAGCCCGTCAAGCCCTGCGCCGCAGTGGGGCGGCCTCATCTCTCTCTCTTCCTCAACACAGGCTCACCCTTCGTTCCTCAATTTTCCACCGAACCTGGCAGAGAATTATTCCGCCGCTGGCGCAGAAAAAAAAAGGAAAACCGAGAGAGTATCCAACCAAAAAGGAAGATTGCCCGACAAGGCAAAAAAAGAATCGACAGAGACAGGATTCGAACCTGTGAGGCCGAAGCCATATGATTTCTAGTCATACCCATTAACCACTCTGGCACTCTGCCTGAGAGAAGATGAGATCGCCTGTTGGCTGCTCGTCTTGTTGATGGAAAGAGGGGGCGCAATTTGTGACTATCAAGGTTTTCCCAACCGTCTAGTCCGGTTTTGGCGGTTCGGCCGGGCGGGACGGTGTGGGGCCGGTGGTCCGGGTGTCCAACATCGCGGAGCGGCGGCGGCGGCGGGACGGCTGTCCTTGGATAGCAGAGGCGTGGCACGCATTGAAAACTCGCGAACATCTTCGTCTTTCGGGGCCGTTCTTGGCTCGACTGTCTTTGACGTTTTCTTGCCATACCTCGTCAGGGCGCAACACTGACTATAGCGAACTACCCCCTTCGTAGGTACAGTTAGCATGTCCCCGACTTACACATCGCCAGAGCTCCAGTCGTCACCTCGCAGGCAACCGAAACCGCACCGCTCATCCCCGTCCACGCCACGCCCTCTAACACTCCCCTTTCCTCACCGCGACACGACCGCGTACCACAGCAGCCCCAAGACCGCGCCCGCCACAATCGCCACCGGCGGCCGCACGCCGAACCACGCGCCGCCGACATAGCTCCCCGCCGCGACGGCCACCCACCACGGCTCGTCCCCCAGCGCCGCCCCGGCCTGCGCCCCGGCATCTACCCTCCCCATCTGCCACAGCCGGTACACCGCCGTGAACACCAGCCCCACGGCCCCGGCGTTGACCCCGCGCAGCAGCGACCGCACCCACCGCCGCCCGCGCGCCGCGCCCCAGACCCCCGTCATGGCGTGCACCAGCACCAGCCCCGGGATGAAGATGCCCGCGAACCCAATCGCCGCGCCTGCCAGCCCGCTACCGCTTCCGCTACCACTGCCACCATTACCACTACCATCGCCGGCATGGTGGTGGTGCTGGTGCCGAGCCGCCAGCCCGCCCAGGTACACCGCAAAGTTAAAGTTGGGCCCCGGGAACGCCTGGATGAGCGCCAGGCCGATGAGGAAGTCGCGCGGGCTGACCCAGCCCTCGGCGACGATGTACTCGCGCAGCAGGGGCACCACGACGGGTCCGCCGCCGAAGATGATGGTTCCCGCGAGGTACATGTTGGCGAAGAGGCGGAAGAGGAGCGGCTGCGCAGATGCCGGCTTGAGGGCGCCGCGTGCAGCCATGACGGCCGCAAAGGATACGAAGAAACCCGCTGCGAGAGCCAGGCCTGTCTTCCAGCTCATGTTGAGGCGCCGGCCCGGGGGCACGACGCGGCGTGAGTCGTCTTCGTCTGGATGCCCCTCTCCTTCTCGACCTTGCTGCTGCTGCTGCTGCTCTTCGTCTACCGGTGGTTGTTGCTGCTGCTGCTGCTGTTGCCCCAGCTCGTTCTCCACGCTCCTCACGTCCACCTCCGTCCTCCGCACCGCACAGCCCCTCGCTCTCCTCCACACGCCCACCACCCACCTCACCGGCCGATGCACCCACCGATAATCATGCACCACCGCCGCCGCGCCCGCCACCGCCATCAGCAGCGGGAAATACCACAGCGCGTTGTATAGCGTGCCCGCCGCGGCGGCGAGGTAGACGAGCGCGCGGCTGAGGCGGTCCGTGATGGCCTGCCCCGCGAGCTGCGTCGCCGCCAGCGCGATGATGCCCACCGTCGCAGCGTTGAGGCCAGATAGCAGCGCGTAGGCCGGCCCGGGGAGCGTCTCGCCGACGCTGGACACGCCCACGGATAGGGCGTACATGCCTGCCGCGCCGGGGAGGCTGTCGTTCTGCTGTCAGCTACGGACAAGACAATCGGCTTGGTATAGGGAGGTGAAGGCGCGCGGGAGCAGCACGTACCTCCAGATGAAGAAGCCGGCCACGGCGGGGATGAATCCCAGATGCAGCAGCAGCACGCAGTAGAGCATTTTAGTGCTCGCCGGCCCGGACAGGGCCTGGCACACGCTGAACAGCTCCTGGTACTGCGTACGACATCAGCCGCCGCATGTCAAACACTCCCCACTCACGCTCGTCAAGGTAGCACTCACCACCTGTTCGTCTACCCACCCAAGCCTGGTCACAAACTTGTCGTAAAACTGCACGTCCATCGTCAGCCCACGCCAAGTATTTCGCGTCCCTCTGCCGCTCCGTTCGTTTCGGCAGCAAGCGCCGGCTCCGGTCACTCGGCCCCACTCCGCGCTCCGTAAAGCCGGACCGGCATCGCTCCGGCCGGGAGTGTGCGCAGGGCCGGGCCGAGCAGAGCAGGAAAGCAGGGGAACTCACAAGCTTGAAATGCACGGGCGGTCCGCCAAATGCCGTGAAGCCCAGATGCCATGTCTCGCGCACCGTCGTCCACAGCCGCGGCCCCAGGTCCGCCCCCGGCCGCAGGTGCAAATCCAGGCGCAGCCACCGCGGCGCGCGGAACCGCTGTCCGACAGCCATATCTCCTTAGATGTCTCTCCCTCCCTTCCTCTATATCCTTGATTACGCACGATCTTATTTCGTCACTGTGAATCCAGCCTAGATCTCTATTGCTTTGCGTCGACAGTGTTGCGCGTACCTCAGTGGCGGCCCGACCGCGGGGATTGATTGCCAGTCTCGACCACCGGCGCGCGCCTTTGACCTGAGCGAGCGACGCAGAGCCGGGTTGCGAAAAGATGTCACGCCTTTATACTTCGAGATGCGCGCTCCCGGCGCCTTTTCTGGGCCGTCGCTTCGGCTCGTCGGGGCAAGCCATTTCAGGGCCCAATTGCGCCATCAGCAGTCCACACGGAGCCGGCGCTTGAACCTCTTGTGGCTTGGTGCCAAGTGCGCTACCTTGTCAGCGCCATGGGAGGGCAACAAACATCAACAGTTCTGATGTCGATATCACCGTCAGCTCGGTATAGGACTCAGCGATATCCACACACCTGCCACCGGCTTGATAGTCTGAGAGTTACCGTGGCCGAATCTAGATAGATCTAGATATCATGGTCCCCATATATCAAAAACGCCTGGAACAGCAACCCCGGTACCAACGCCTCGAGTTATATGACATGCCTCTTCCATGTACAGCCTCCCGCGCGCGTCGGCACGCCGCGTCTACTTGTCCCACTCTTTGAACCCCTTTTGCTTCTGCCTCGTGTTCCAGCCCAGCTTGCCGCTGATGCTGTTAACCCAGTCCTCGCTCCTCCGGCCCTCGGCCTGCACCGACGCAAACGGGTATCTGCTGGCGCTGATGGTCACGTAATCGCCGCGCTGCAGTTCGACGCGCTCCCGGCCGTCGAAGCTCGCCCAGGATGCCGTCCGCGCGTCGTAGGGCACACCTACGCGCAGCACGATCGTGTCCGGCAGCACAATGGGTCGGAACGACAAGGTGTGCGGGCAAATCGACGTGACCAACATCACGGGATTCTCCGGATGGCATAGCGACCCGCCTGCCGCCAGGTTGTAGGCCGTTGAGCCCGTCGGCGTCGACACGCAAATGCCGTCGGCGAGCACCGAGGTGAAATGCTCGTCATCGCCAAAGATTTCCGTGTATGACATGGCTAGGCAGTCTCGTCAGTGTCGCCTCTCCCATCGCGCAGACGGCATCGTCACTTACTCGGATTGGGTCCCCGGTCCACCACAATCTCGTTGAGAATTTCAAACGTCCCGTCTGGCCGGTGCGTGTGCGCGTCTTCCCTCTCTTCTCCGATCAGCTCCTCCACGAGGTCCCTCCGACTATGGTGCTCCTCCTCGTCCTCATCGGAGCTCTCAGGTGATGGTTTCCTCTTTACGCTCCTCATCACGGTGCCCTCGAAGCGCAGCCGCAGGCTGACCGTCACGCCCTTGGTGAAGGCCGACGTCAGGATCGGCTTGTACTCGGCAAAGTCAAACTTGGTCAGGAAGCCGAGGCTGCCGAGCGAAAAGCTCAAAACGGGGGGGACAATGCGCTGGAACAGCCAGCTTGCGTAGAGCACGGTGCCGTCGCCACCGAGCGTGATGACAAAGTCAAAGGTGTGCGGCCTTGTCTTGCATATGTTCTCGTCCCAATAGCGCAGCCGGCGCGAAAGCGATGCGCGCGCAGCAGCAAGGTCATAGTCGCCGCCGCCGCCGCGACGCTCTGCGTGCTGGCGGGCAACGTCGTCGAGGAGGCCGGCGACGTCAAACTTTTTGTTGGTGCGGAGCTTGTCTTCGACGTAGACGACGTACTCGACGTCTCTGTCGGCGTCGAGGAGCCAGCGGGTCAGCTCGCGGGTCTTGGGGACGAGGTCCTGGTCGTAGATTTTGGTGATGAGGAAGATGGTCTTGACGTTGATTCGGATGCGCATGGTGCTCAGGCGTCTGCTCAGCTCGCGGACGCCCCACGCCATGTCGCTAAGCTGCTTCTTGGTGAGCATCCGGCTATGAACCTCGTCGCGGGACTGTGTAAGGTCGAGCTCGGACATGGTCTTGGTCATCTCGCGGGTCCAGGCCTGCTGATCGGGCTGGCCGGTGACGTCCTTCTCGAGGCTGGTTGGGTCGACCATGGCGCGGGACTGCCGGCGCTGGTGCTTGGGCTCCACGAGGGTGTTGAGGCCCCTCTCCTGGGCGAGCTTCGCGCTACCATTCTCCGTGGCATGGTCCTCGGCATTGGCAACTTTGGGGTGGGCGAGGAAGTGCTTCGCGTCAGCATCGCCGTCCTTGTCCTTTGCGCGGCGCTGCGAGGCGAGGAACTGGTGCACAATGCACTGGTCGCGGCGGTTGTTCGGGCGAACGGCGACGGGCACGGTGGCCTCGGAGGACACGAGGGAGCTCTTCCGGCGGTATGGGTTGCCCGGATCAAAGGTCACCTCAAGGGCGTTGGAATCCTCCTCGCCGCCGCAGTCGTCCGACGGCCCGTCGGGGTCGAGGACGAAAGTGGCGTGCTTTTCATGGCCGCGCGCCTTGGAGGGCTCGGCGTCTCGCCCATCCATTGCAGCGGGGCAATGGTATCTGTTCGTGTCGTTAATGTCGAGCTTTGCGCGGTCGCGGAATCTCGACGCAGAGATGTATCGTCGTGGCCCGCCTATGCGCGTCAAGGGCTGGTCACTCTGTGCGCAGGCAGGCACCTCTATGTCGAGTCGTCGTATCTCGCGCGGACCAACGCATTCGCAGAAGTAGGCGACAATTGTTTGATGACGGAGGTGGAAGTGGAGGTGCGGAACCCACGGCACAGGCGTCTGTCAACTTGTCGAGACAGCGGCTAGTACGAAGTTGTCAGTGCGCTGGATCACCCTACGGTGGGTGGCTTCTGAAGGTTAAATAAATCAGGACGCGGGGTGATGAGAAAGTGAGGAGCCTGGGGAGCTTGGAGGGGCAACAATAGGACACCACTGGCCGCATTGGGTCACTGGGATGATGTTGGCCGTCAGCGCCATCACCGACCACAGGCCCCTCCGTCAGCACACTCGCCGTGCTGCGCTTTAATGTCCACCACGGGTGCATCCTGTCGTCTGTACGTAGTCCCTTTCCAGGAAAAGGCTCGTGATGAGTTGGAAAGCTGGAACCTGTGCTCGAGTCCCATCGCGAGCAAGCACAGGTACCTGGCCGTACTCGATTGACGTCATGGGTCTTGCCCTACAAATTCTCAAGTACCGTGGCGGAGCTCGAAGTACCTTCCGCGGGGCGAGTTCATGCACCGCACCTTCCCATGGAAGACCACCACACTCCCTCCGTAAGGCCTCTACGGACTGCGGAGTATCATCTCTTCGTAGGGGCACGAAATTGATTTCTCTCACCCCTGAACTTGACCATTCTTTTCTTCCGTCAAATAAACACCCTAAATCGCCAGCCCGTCATGGCAACCCTCGCCGCGAGCACGCCCGTTGTGCCCGCGAGTAGAAACGCCCCCGCAAATGCCTTCAGCCCTACCAAACCATTAGGACCCTCTAGGATGGCCCCAGCAATCGGCGCGGCCGCGAGCCCGCCAACAGACTGTCCGAGGCTCGTGATTCCGTTCCGATACCCTATCTCGTCAAGAGGACACATATGACCCACGAGCGCCGGCGAGAGAGCAATATAGGCCCCGGAAAACAAGCCGAGCAGTACCGAAAAGGCAATCGTACTGCGCTCGCCTACACCCGGGATCCACATGGCAAGGACGAGGACACCACCCACGTACGACGCCGCGATGAAGACGTTGAACCGGCCCAGCCTGTCTGCAGCGAAACCAGACACGAGGCGACCGACGAGACTACGCCGACGGTCAGAGACAAAGAGTGTACTCCGCAGACAGGCAGCCCACCCACCTGGAGCCGTTAAAGAAAGCCACCAAATTGTTCGCCAGCGGGTTAGCGATGCCTGCTCTAATTGCTGCCGTGGGGAGAAAGTTGATGGGCGTGTAGTGGCCAAACGGTACCAGAGACAGACCCCCAAGCAGAAGCACGAACGGTGGCTCGTGAAAGGGCTTCACCATGAGTTTCTGACTGAGTTGACCTCTCCTCGGGATGCCTTGCCTACGCCGAATAAACACGTTCGCCACGGAAAGCAACGCCGCTATGAGGAACGCCCCGGCGCGCATCGCCCACGCATAACCAGCGCTGTCAATCAACTTGCTGAGCATGATGGGCAAGACAACGCCGCCGACACTGGAACCCGTCGCCAACCCGCCGAATGCGAGGCCTCGGCGACGGTCAAACCAACCGCTAACACATCCAATCGTGGAGAGAAAGACGGCGGCAACACCAAGTGCGCTGCAGACGCCCTGCGACAACATGAACTGGTAGTACTGGGACGAGATCGAAGCCATCATCAGCCCAAAAACGTGGAGAAACGAGCCCACCATCAGAAGCGGCTGTGGCCCGTGACGGTCAAAAAGAACACCGATGACGGGACCGAGGGCCGACATAAGAAAGATTTGCAACGCGGGAATCCATGCAATCTGACTCGGCGTGTAGTCGCTCAACGGTCCCGTCGCGTAATACTCTTGGAATATGCCGACACCTGCTCGCCATGCTGAGAAAAGCCCCCATCACGCAGCACCCGAGCCAAGGTACAGACTCACTATTGATCCAGCCGTAGCTGCAAAACGAGACGCACCAGGCACCCAGGACGACTAGCCAGGCACGCGTGCCCCCGTCGACCTGGGCAGTGGCCGAATGCTCCGCAGAGTCCTGGTCCGCACCCGTACATGAGCTCTCCTTAAGGTGTTGGACTGCCTTTTCATCACATTCGGCACCTGGCTCCCATTTTGCCTCAACATGACGGATATGTTGATGGACATGATCCGTGGAATTCTGCTCGGTGATGTCGCGGCAAACCGATGACGAATCGCCTTGGCCGGTGACCTGGTCGTCTCTCTCGTGAAGCTGCCGCTGGCGCGTCCCCATGGCTTCCGAGGCTGTATACTGGAAAGTCAAATACCCTTTTGGGTGGGAGTGGCGAGGCGATCAAGATTCGCATGGCCTGATGAACAAAGTCCAAAAGAATCATCTAGCCGCCTCCCCCTCTTCTTGAACTGATCACGTCTCGCTCTACCCTTCAACTCTCCCCTCTCGAAGCTTGACGCTCATATCTGATTGGTGCTCCCCGCTGTGTTGGGCTGTCGCACAAAAGCTGGCGGGAGAAACCGGCCAGCATGTCCTCCATTTGCAGCCAACGCAGCAGGCCAGGCCAGCACAACGCATCTCCCTCGCTTGCCGAGGCGGCGATAGCTACAGCTCACTCACACTGGCGGGTGATTGCCGGCACAGCCAGTGGGACTTCAGGCCATGGCTCGGGCACCAAACGGAAGTAACCCGAATACCACTCGACGTTGGGCGATGAACCTGATGGCACGTCGGCTACGCTTCATTCTGGAGCACAAAGCAAGCCCGTCGCTATCCGTGAGGATCTGCAGCTCACGGGGCCTAGGGATTGGATACCAACTCAGCGGTTCGGCCACCTCCTAAGCTTAAACAGCTGATATGCTATTGGTACCCCAAGCTGCGGTGTCACAGAGCAACCAACGGTGATGCAAGTCAGCGTCTCTATCTGCTTACAGATCGCGACATCGCATCCATCTGATGGAGGCTTCTCCATCTCCTGGAATCAGCTATGTTGAACCTCTGAACATAAATACCGTGGTCCTCTATCCTTCAAGATCCCCCATGCATTGTTTACCAAGTCACATACTCTCTGTGAAATCTCTTTAGTTTCCCGTCGTCTGCCTCGCTCAGGCTGTTCGAGCTGCGATGCCTCCTTCATCAGAAGACAAGGAGGACGACTGGACATGCATATCGGATCGCGTGTCGAGAAAAAGGGTCCAGAACCGCATTGCCCAACGAAACCGACGTGAGTACCAACTGAACAATGACCCAGAATCGTGTAAGCTGAACTCTTGCCGTGACCTGAAGGGAAGAACCTCAAGAAAAGGCTCGAGGAACTTGAGCAGACGGCGGGACAGGGACTAAGACCTTGCACCCCACGCGAGGAGGACCAGGAATCCAATGTGGCCATCTTACTCAAGCTTCTGGCGTGGTCTTTGGAAGTGAATGGCGGCAGTCCCACGGGCCCCGCGATTCGGCAAGTCGTTGCCAGTTCACCGCCGATGTCTCAGTCCACGGCGGCTCCGATATCGTCTTCGACATCCAGCGACGGACTCCTTTCCAAATTGTCAGCGAATTACGTTGGAGACACTACCTCGCCAGATGGGATCATGTCAAGCAGTCCACAGCCTACAACACCCACTGACCTGGAATTCTTGAGTCTTCTGGGACGGTCATGTGGCAGCGATGTATTGCAAGTCTCGCCGGCATGGAACCACGATCCTTCGACTGCCTTGAGCAAGGAAGCCTGGAGCAACTCGGTGCTTATTGAGCCGGTTGCCTTAGAAGAAGGGGAGATGCCGACGCTGGAAGTCAGTAATCTTGTAAGTCCGGCTTCCATCGCTGCTGGACCTGCGACCTTCCCAACAGGTCGACTTCGTCAACCAGAAACCCCCGAGCAATGCAGGCTGGACGTCTTGGAGAGAACCATGAGAGCTGTACGCGACTCGGAATTTGGCAGCCTCGACTGTCTTGTTGCCGAATATTATACTGCCAACATGGATGGCCGTCCTGAAATGGCCCTTATGCGGAGACTCGACCGCAATCGACGATTGCCGCACCTACTGGCAAGTCTTCAGAGAGACTTGCCCACGTGGACGCAATGGGAGGCACAAGCATATAAAGATGAGATACTCAGATCGACAGAGAGCATTATCGCAGCCGAGCGTGCCAGCCTGGGCAATGACACAGAGCTGGAGGCCATGTTGCGTTCCACCTTGACCACTGGCGCAAGTCTCCCAGCATTGACGCTGCTTAGCGATACTTTTCAAACCCTGGTGAGTGCAAGTCCAGGCCAAGGCGGGATTTCAAGCCGGTGGCTGACTTATGATGGACTCGACTAGGCACCAAACACGTGCAACCTGCTCTTAGCTCTCGTCGGGACTCATGCCTCCGATAGGGACAACCTCGCCGGGCTTGCCATGACGATTACATGTCTTGGTGTGTCCAGACGTATTACCGAAGCAGGTCTGACTGGCGTGTGCAAGCTCATGCTGCAGGGCCTTTGTTCTTGATAGGACTCTGCAGAATATGGGTTGGAGCGGTGCTTCCCATGTGCGCTGCGTCCCCTTCCGGCTGGTCTTCCGCAGCGTTTGGCGTCCGCAAGGGTAGCACTACGACGCAGGTCATTTCGGCAGCTTCAGGCAAGCTTTTACCGAGCCTTTATGAATCGCATGAGTCATTCTGCTTCTGCGCCGTTTCATTATTCACGTACCATTCAGCTCATTTGAGAGGCCGACCGTGACTATGGGGTTATCACCCCTGGTTCTTAGAATATGCGATGCGTATGCGGCACTCATGAGGTGGGTTGGCACACTGTGATCCTCCAGGTTGGAAACGAGCTGCTCTAACTTCTTTTCTCCCTGGAGGTAGTCAATGGCTTCCTGAATGATTCCCTTTTTAACGTTTTCGGTATATACTCCGGGCAACTTTGCGGTGCCCCGGCGATCCAACTCTTCCATTGAGTAGGACTTCAGGGGCTGGCTCTCGCCTAAAACACGGCAGTTGCGAAAGACGTAGACCTGAAAGTGGTTGTCAGTGCCGATTTCAGCCGTGCTGGGCTTCGACCGGTCATGTTTGTCGTTTGCCTGCCGCGACTCGAGGACAATCGTCTGGAACGGGCCGCTCCGGATCTCATGCGCTTCATGCTTGACTCGGCCAGAGCCCTTGTACCAGTCCGCACTGTTACCCATTGTCACCCAGCTCCGACGGCTAAACCCATTGTGCAGGAGATTCAACTGCACCAGGGTGACGGGCTCGTCGTCCTGGAGAAAGGTCATCTGTATGTTGGCGTCGTACTCTCCAAAGTCTGCCACGAGGCTCTCGACCTGTTGCGGGGTGTACTTGCAGGACCGCACGTACTCGTCCCCAAACAGGGCGACGTAGTCCCCGTGCGTCAAGGTCTTGAGCACCCCAGACGGGCTGATGAAGCTGCTTACGACCTGCACCTTGTCTGGTCGCTTCAGCTCGCTCCAACCTGCCTTGACAAACTGGTACGCCGTGTCCAGGAAATGGTACCCGCTGTGCGAGACCTTGCCGTGGCCGGCGTTGAAACCGTGGTATGCCTCGTCGACGAGTTCGTGTGGCAACCTCCACTGCCCGTCGCAGTGCGTGGACACAATGTTCGTCACGGGCGAACCTGTCTTTCTCGCAATATCTCTGAGCATCCTGGAGGTGCTCGTGTATGCGGGGTGATAGCGGCGATGGCTAGCGATAAGGAATATCGTCTGCCGGTGTCGCTGCAGCCGAGAATACGCCTCCATCAAGTCTTGGTAGTCTTGGGCAATGCCGAGGGCTTGCGTCATGTCTGTGGCAGCTCCCTTGCGTGTAGTCACGGGCTTGTCCATGATGACGTGCAAGCCTCGATCGAGAGCCCACAGGCCGTAGACTTTATGTGCCTGTGGTTCAGTGCTGATAATGACGCAGTCGACCCCGTGCACACTCAGTATTGTGTTCAGCTTGCGGGTCACATTGTGTGGCATTTCTGTCGTGAAAGTCGGGACGAATGCGAGCTCAACTCCTGGGAGATGGGCATCGCAGTAGGCCGTGAGCTCGCCCCTCTTCGATTCGACGTCGACGGCGCAAACTAGCTCCGCTGAGCAGTCTGTCTTTAGAGAGAGGAGATGTTTGGCATAAGTCCTTTTGGCGTGTGGCCCGAGGCCGACGATGAGGAAGCGCGCTGGCTTCTTCTGCGTGGTACTGGCGACCTTGGTCATGTTGATGATCACGCACTTGAAGGCACGACTGGATATGTCTCTTTGTTGTATATGCGCTTAGCATACGTATGACAGAGCTTTTTCTGTTTCAAGTGAAAAGGCAAGCAGGTCGACTAGAGCACGTAGCAATACACTGGTGCTCTCAGAATTTGTGCTCATACCCAGATCTTCGATTCGTGAAGACCAGGAAGGGCATTTGTACTCGAGAATGCCCAAGCGAGAGATTGTTAGCTGGGCATGCATACGGTCAACCAGGCTATCAGACTGCCGAAAGAATTGTCAGAAACGTCAGAAAAGGGTCACCCTCTGACTGTACCCGGGAGGCATATCGACTGACCGCAATCGCTCCGTTGCATCCTCTGTGTTACACTGACACTGGTTCTGACACTGACACTAGTTCTGACACTGACACTGGTTCTAAACAGCGTGACGACACTGACACTGGTTCTGACACTGACACTGGTTCTGACACTGACACTGGTCAGCCCCTGAACAGCGTGACGACGTTCCTCACTAGGCGGCTTAAATATGCCTTCAACAGGCTATAGATTGGCTTTCAGGCGATCGATACCAGAGAGAATATCTCTTCAACGAAAGGAAACGTGAAAATGACACCGCATCATACGAACGGAACAGAGGACGATCCCCTAGAGATCGATGGCACTCTTCTGCCTCCCAAGGCGTCGAGCGACAGCCACAGCAGCAAGGTCCTGCACTCATCCCGATACCAGATCCCTCCTCCGCGCGTCATCGCCGCTCAGGGAAGCTACCTGACCCTCGCCGACGGGCGCACCATCATCGAAGCCTGCGGCGGCCCGGGCGTCACCTGCATCGGCCACGGAAACGCAGAAGTCGCAGAGGCGGTGCGGGCGCAGATGGCCCGGCTCTCGTATTGCTTCGGTTTGTACTTTTCCAACGAGCCCGCGGAGGAGCTGGCGCGGGCTGTCGTTGCGACGACGGGCGGGGCGCTCGCCAAGGCGGCGACCATGAGCTCAGGCAAGTCTTCACATCACTGAACGCCTTTGACGATTACTAGGTGGGAGCTGACGCTGAGTGACGCCCCCTTCAAGGCTCGGAAGCGGTCGAGGCGGCCATGAAGATGGCAGTCAAGTACTTCGCCGCGACGGGCCAGCCCAGCAGGACGCACTTCATCGCCAGAAGGGGCGGCTTCCACGGGACCACGGCCGGAGCGCTGGCACTGACCGGCAAGGCGGCCTTTCGGCACCCCTTTGAGCCTCTGCTCAAGAGCGACACGGTCTCGCTCGTCAGCATGCCAAACACGTACCGCGGGATGCTCCCCGGGGAGACGGAACCTCAGTACGTAGCTCGTCTCGCGAAAGAGCTCGACGACGAGTTTCGGCGCGTGGGTCCGCGCAGGGTCTGCGCCTTTGTGGCCGAGACCATCACCGGAAGTGCAGGCCATCTCCCCATTTCCCCCCTCGATTCCATACTGAGTCTGTTCTTGTTTGGAGCTCTTTGTCTCTGACTGTCTCCCCCTTCCAGGCAACGGGAGTCCTCGTCCCCCCCGCGGGGTACCTCCGCGCCGTGCGCCGCATCTGCGACGACCACGGCGCGCTGCTCATCTTGGACGAAGTCATGTGCGGCATGGGCCGGACAGGGACAAACTACTACCACGCCTGGCAGGCTGAAGGCGCAGACGCTCCGCCCGACATACAGACGGTAGCGAAGGGCGTTTCGGGGGGGTACGCGCCCGTGGCGATGGTGCTGGCGAGTCAGGCCGTGGTAGACGGCATCAACCACGCCTCAGGCATCTGGAACCACGGCCATACATTCACGTCGCACCCCGTGTCCTGCGCGGCCGCGCTCGCGGTGCAGACCGTAATCAAGCGGGAGAACCTGGTACGCTATGCCGCGGAGATGGGCAGCCTGCTTGGGGCGCAACTCAGGGGGGCACTGGGGCATCATCCGCACGTTGGAGATATTCGAGGGCGGGGATTGCTCTGGGCCGTCGAGTTCGTGGCAGACAGGACGACCAAGAGGCCGTTCGAGCCTGAGGATGGGATTGCCGCGCGTATCCACGCCGTGGGGATGTCGGATATTCCTTTATCCTGGCACCGGCACGGCCGACGGCTTCAAGGGGGATCACATCCTCATCGCGCCGGCGTATATCATCACGACGGAGGAGGTCGGCGATATTGTCAGACAGACCACAGGCGTCGTCTGCCAAGTCCTAGGATCAATTCCACTCCTCTGATGCTCTGAGCCCGAAAACCGCGGTGGCAGTGGAACCCCTGAACCCCTGCTCTTGTGATGGACAATGTCTGAACAGGTTCAAGACTATCGTTCGGAGGGACAGGGCTACCCACGACTCTGCCTGCGGTATTAAAATTGCTCAAATAGTTCTCCCGTCATTATTCTGGCATTGAATTCTCGAAGCAGCCGAGAAGAACGTCAGACATGCGTCCTCAACGCTTGTTCGCAGTCCCATCAACTGTATAGGGTAGCCTGGCCGCTCCACCGATGCCCGACTCCAACCCCATCCTCAATCCCGAGACCCGGGGCTCCGGAGCCGACCAACCCACATCAGACGTCACGACTCACTCACCACGTCCTGTCGCGCATCCTGACAGCTCGTCATTCGCCTGACGCGACAGACACAATGAAGCACCTCATCCTCGTCGGAGCGTGCTACCTCGATACCATTCTCAGGTAAGCCAGCACCTCAGGCTATGGGAATCGCTTGCTGCCATCAACATCATCTTCATCATGACCCAGCCGCTGACCACACTCCCAGCGTCCCTCACTACCCAGAGGAAGACTCCAAGCTTCGGGCAACCCGCATCAAGGTTCGCCGCGGCGGCAACTGCCCCAACTCGCTCGAGGTTCTCCAGCAGCTCCTTGAAGGTCGCGAGGACCTGCGCCTCTACCTCGTCTCCTGTCTGCCCGACCGCGCCTCTGCGGCCGCCGAGCGCGTCGCGGCGTCGTTTGGGGCCGACTCCAAGGTCGACTTCCGCCACTGTATATACCGTTCAGGTCATGCCGAGGCCGCAAGCAGCTACATTATCCGCAGCGATCAGTCTGGCAGCCGCACAGTTGTCAACTACAATGACCTTCCAGAGATGACGACGACCGAGTTCGCGCGCATCGTCGCCCAGTTCGCTCCAGAAGACGACACGTGGTGGCACTTCGAGGTGAGGTCGGCGACGCATGGATGGCCCTGAGCGCGCCTCCGCTGACAACGGCTCGTTCCTCGCCACCAGGGTCGCATCCCCGACACCGCCATCGAATGTGTACGCCTGTTGCGACGCTCCATGCCCTCAGCCACCGTCAGTGTCGAGGTCGAGAAGCCTGGCCGCCCTGGTCTGCCCGAACTAGCCGCCGAGGCCGACGTCGTCTTCTACTCCCGCACTTGGGCCGAGGTACGCGACTGAGGCCGTTGGCTCTCTTCCCCGGAAAGCGTCTGCTGAAAGCTCAATACTCGCAGAGCCGTGGCCACCACTCTGCAGAAGCATGTCTCACCAACGAGCGACGACGCCCAGGGTACGCTGCACGACTCCTTGACCCGACCCTGCGTCGGCGTTGCTTCTTCGCTGACTGGGACTGGACGCCCGCGCAGATCTCTGGGCTTATGCACCTGGGGTGCACAAGGCGCCGCCGCCTTGTCTGAATCATCCGGGGGATGCCTCCGATGCCCCGTCGATGCACAGCCGGGAGGGATTCAGGTCGTTGAGTGAGTTTCGGTTTCCCCATCCCGAGTTGAACATCCAGCCCCCCACCCACCCCAAATCGCCGTCCGTGGCACGAGCGGCGTCGCGGAAACGTCATTGACGGCGCGAATTCGTAGCTCAGAGCTGACGTATCTGCTTACTTCGGTGTAACAGCACAATCGGTGCTGGCGACACCTTCATTGCGGGGATACTGTATGCCTTGGTGTGTCGGACGACCTCACAGCACCTCTCGGAGAGCCTGACTTTTGCTGTAAGACTTGCCACGCTCAAGGTCCAGCGTGAAGGCTTCGACAGGCTAGCCGCAGACCTTGACGCAGACCATCGTGTTTTGTGAACCCCGCCCCGGCGAGGTAGGTCTTCCTCTTTCGCTCGTGCGGCGGCCTGCGAAACAATAGGCCTCGGCCGCCCGTGTTGCTCCTGCGGTGTCGCCTGGTTGTATCGAGAGGAGAGGGTTACATGGGGCCTGAGCCAAGGTCTTCTCGAACATCGGGTGCCTTGCTCTCCACGGGATTACTCCTCGTGCGGTCTCGGTGCTGGTGATGGGGCGGCGCCCGACTTCTGCGTTAATCGGAAACCATCACGAGCCATCGGGCGTCACAGTCACCAGGAACATCCCGTAGGTCGGGGATCAGACATGCGCCGAACCGTATCATTTGCTTCGCCCTGGAGCCGGTCCCCTCTGTCAGCCGCGCTGCGAAGCCTCCGGGACGGCCAACTTGGCGAGTAGGGTTGCAACTGGCGAGGGGGCCTTTTAGTGACTACACGCACTGTCCTGCAGTCACGGTGCAGGGCATGTTGAGTGGCCATGCACCTCTCCGTGCAGGCATTGCTGCATACGCACAGCACTTTAGCCGGGTGTTTTGCGACTTCGACGACTTGGACCACTTGCCGGAGGGGGCTGTCACAGGCTCTCGGATCCCCGTGGGCGTAGCACTTGCGTGTGCCAGAGAAGCTGCACAGCAGTCACTTGAAGTCCTGCAGGACCGGCACGGACGGGCTTCCTCGGCCGCCAGTCTGTCTCGCTGCCAAGATATCCAGCGCTTGGGCTCTCGACCATCCTTCACCTCGGACTCGACGGCCTTGCTCTGGTGCTAGATAGCGAGTCAAGCTGATTCCTCTCTTCCGCCGACCCCCTTGACGGCAAGTGGGCACGGGGCTTGATGCTCGAAAGGCAGGGCGAGGAATCGCAAGTGTGGACAAGGACAAGTCAGGCGGTACAGACGGAGTCATGGTTCTTTGTCTGGGCTCTCTTTCCGGCCCGCGTCCGACATGCAGCATCGGCAATGGTTCGTGAGCGCTTGTCGCCGCGCCACTGTGCCGCAAATATCTTTCGGTTTCGGCCGCCCGGACTTTGCTGGACGGGCCTCTTTCGCCGCCCAATCGCAATGGAGGGGGTGTCGTTGTATGGACCGCCACAGCTCCGTGTGCCGTCCTCCTTCTATCAGAGAATCGTCAACCAGGGGCGGCGGGTCGTGACTCCTTTGGGGCGCCTGCGAACCTCCCGGTGTCCGGTCATGCCTGCTTGGCTGGACCCAGGTGATCAAGGCAGCGTTGCGCCTGGCACGAAGGACGAGAAACGGGCGGCTGGCGTTACTGGGGTTCCAGAGGTCGACACGACTTCCCACCCCCCAGCTGGGCCCGAGGTTGGGGCTTCATCTATCTCTCCCCACGCCTGAACGGACGAGGGCCACCTATTGCACGCGCGTCGACATGTGGGCGACCCGTAGCTTTCAGTTACGCCACTCGGGGGCGCCGTACAAGCAGAACTTGAGTTGAGCAAATGTAGAAAGTACAGTCCAGTACTCACAATAGTACTGTACAGTCCACAAGTAATTGCAGCAAGGAACGCTTCCATCGGGGGTGCCACGACACGACGACCCCGTAGAGAGGCTCGACGCATAGGTCCCCACACCCCAGACCATCATCCTGGTTGGACAGGATTCTGTCGAGCGCACCGTGACCGAGATGGCTCCTTGTCCGGTTGGGTTCAGCTCAGGTCAGCAGAAAGTGCAGCGACGCCCATGCCCATCAACATGAGCCCGGGTTTTGGCCGTGCGTGCCTCCTCTCCCTCAACGCGGAGAATCAGGTCCCAGCTCACGAAGCCCTGCGAGCGCTCTCCGCCAGGAACTTGGGCCCTGTTCAGCCAATGACAGTGAGAATCGTGCTGTCCGCGGCAGCAAGGAGGGGTGATGGAGGGAGGCGTGTGTCAAACGGGACCGCAGGGGCATGGGCGCCAAAGACGGCGCCCTACGAGAGCGGCCAGCCAGGTCCAGCTGCGTTTTGCAGCATTGCCGTCGTTGGCACAGCACAGCCTTGATGCCTGTTGGGCTTCGGCCGAGCCAAGGGCGACGACGCGGTTGCTCGTGCGCAATGCTGGACTGGACATTCGTACATGCAGCAGTGAAATGCCAGCTCTCGTCAAATCAAACCGCGCGTCTCAGACGCTGGCAGCCGAGAATTGATCTGATCCATGGCGCACATGTGAAGTTGCATGGACATTTGCCAAAGCTGGAGGGAGCAGTGGTTCCTGCCCGCCCACTCCATCACAGCATGTTGGTCCCAACGAGGGCGTGTTGATAGCGGGCGTCCCTCCGCACTTTGTCATGGCCAATGCTGTGTCATCCTTGCATCCGAGGAACGCAGACTTTGTTGCGGACCTCACTCACGTTTGACGCTTTGGGAACCCTCAGGGGGCGTGTGCCTGCGAAAACGGGGCAGCCCTTGGTGGTGGCACCCGTGGTGACCGCGTGCCCGGCCCAATCCCCTGGCGTCTGCTGGGGCGATGCAGATAATCAAATCGTTGCGTCAGAGTGTATGGCTGGCGGCGTGTGAGACTGCAACCACCACTGACTTGCGAAGCGATCAATTTTGAGGCGCCGCCCTGTGATATGGGTTTTGCTTTCTTCACCCTTGGCTCCCGTCGATCCAAAGTTCGCCTTGAGTACTTGCACTATCGTGTTGCGTCAGCAAGGGGCCACAGCTTGTGCCGCTGGGCACCGGGGGGGACCTCTTTCGCGCTGGCTCTGGTTCATCCTTGCATGTTTCACAGTCATCTCACAGATCAGCCTCCGCAACGGAAGCATGCTTGGCCAAGTCGCGCAGCAAACGTCGCGTTCCAAATAGCCCTCTGCCGCAAGACACAGCAGGAATCAACGGCAACGGAGCAGCCTCGGCGACAGCGCGAAATTTCGAATGCAGATTGTTTCTCGGCGCCTGGGCCATGCTGCGACATTGCGTCCGGCCCTGGCCTGCTTGTCGGCGGCATTGCACCGGGAACAAATGTCGCGCTCTATTTTTGCGAGAGGCAACAGCCGGAGCGGTACAAGCACGGTGGCTTGGGCCTTCACGGGTCACCCAGAATCACCCCCGCGTCGGCGGGTCTGTCTGCCATCGACTAACCGACTGCCTGAACTCGCAGCCCGAGTATTGACCTCCTGACTCGAGGCATGGGGCAAGCTGACGCCGGGTGCAAGGCAGGGAGGGGAGGCACGAAAGGCGCCGCCCGATGAGCCCAGAATGCAAAAGGAAGCCTG